AGCGAGTCGACCGTGCCAGCGATGTGTGACACTAATGTCTTTCTTTAGAATAGCGGTCTGTCCCAGTCCATGTAGAGGATAACTCACTAACATCAGCCTTGGCCTCAGTTTTAACACACAACAATTTCGGCCATTTAGTTGGTTTTTTTTTTTTTTTAAATTTAATTCAGCAAAGATTATTTAAGTTTACAAACTAATTCAGGCAACAATGGCGTTGCTGAAGCGCGGGGCCCCTTCAAGCGCGGGGCCTGGGGCGGCCGCCCCGTTTGCCACCCCCTAACGCCGGCTCTGATTAATGTTCTATCGACCATTGGATTAACTCCAAGATCGTTATCGTTTTGACGAGAATCATTTTTCCCCGAGTTAGCCCTATCTATAAATAGGTCACAATTTTATTTTCAGAATTCTCCTGATATTACGTAACACATAAAAGGGTGCCTGGTCTTAATCTCGCTACCAGTAACGATTCGAGATTTTGAAAGCAGAGTCGGGTACTCTAACATCGGTCTTGGGTCACTTTGTGAGGGGGGTGTTTGGTCAAATGTTATCACAATATTATTAAGTTATATTTTATAATTGGATTTTGGTAAACCGCCAAACCTTATTTGACAAAGTGTTACTGATAATGTAGTGCCGGTGGTAGACCCACTTATAAAGTAGAGATCGAGGTTCTTGCAAGAAAAAGTAGAAAGTATAAATTATTATCAAACTCTTACTAATAACAAACGCACTAAAGTAGATCTAAGTATAAGCTCACGTTTTCTCAAGCTATACAAATAAAGTTTAATGTTTAGGCCTAAGGCCTAATGGAAAAACTAAGAGTGAAAGGGTTGATCGAGCTCTAAAAAATTATTTTTAATACAATTAACGACCAATGATTTTATGCTTGCCCCCCCCCCCCCTCCCCGAAGAAACTCTGCCACCTATAATGAATGAATCATTTTTTTTTTGTTCCAGCCTTGTTTGATTTTTTATATAGCCTACTTCTTTACGTATCAGCTGTATGGGGAATTCGTAAAGCTACCGAAAATTGTTTCATAAAGAAAAATGTTTCATTTTTTTATTCACTCTACAGGATTTGCCTAAATTTGAAAACGAAACGAAAACAAATATGGCGTTAAAAGTAAAAATAAAAAGTGAGTAGCATCAGTAAATAAATAAATAAAAATTATGCAGAATCCATAGGCCTATCTCCCCTATTTAGTATTTATATTGGTAAAATCACGATATAGCGTCGGAAATTATTGGGTAATGTTCGTTGAGTTTCGGTAACATTCGTTACTGTAAGTGTAAACCATAGTTTATTTGACCGTTGAAAGAAAAATAAAGTCAAGTGCATTAAATTAATGTTTTAACTTAATTTAATGTTTAACTGACAAAAAATTAGCAACAATTAGTAAATCTAAATATTATTAATAAAGTCGAGTGTAGTAATTAATGTTTTTTTAAGAAACAGAAAAAACTTGCAGAAGATTTGCGACAACCAGCTCTAGACTCTAGTTCTGTTAGTAAATAAAAAAAATATAATTTAATATAAATAAGACGATTAGATTTACTAAAGTTAAAAGTAGTAAGAATAACTAGAATAATGTTTAGTAGCAGCAATAATTAGCACATACACTTAAAATAATTAGAAATACAAAATAATTAGCAAAACAGTATTTAAAATGCAACTAAAATCAATCCACGCACATTTTTCAACATTATGTATTAAAAATAATATGGTGGCAAATAAATGATGGTTTACAGTATTTCCGGTGGTTTCCGGAACGGCTCGACAGACTACACCATAGTTTTACTGTTTTTTACTGCTGTACAGTTCCGGAATAATAACCGACGCTATATCGTGATTTTACCTTTATATTAAGGGCCTAGCTAGGGTAAAACTTCATTTTAGCGTATTTTATTCCCCGCTTCGTTCACCTCCAGCTGAGTGTATTTTAATATAAAAACATCCGAAACACACCAAAAAAATACAACAAACTTAGAAGCTTAGATCTAGATCTAGAAGAAGCAGATGATCGAAAATAATTTACAACGACAGACAAATTTAGAAAATATATAGATTCTAGACTTAGATTTAAATATATATAGAGGATCTAGATTTAGGCTAGTCTAGTTCAAGTTGTTGGTTACGCAGCAAGGGTAAAGCACCCTAATCGTTACCCAGCTGCAGCCACCCCAATTTCTCCTCTCAGATTGCTTTAATAGCCTTAACACTTATATATAGTATTTACAAGGTCCTACACATATGTTGTAATATGTAGAAGCTATTTATTAGTTAACCTAATTATAAAAAGCTTTGATTGGTTGGTTTTATTCGTCTCATCCGGGACCTAGTGCTTTTCATATGGGGGACTAGAATCGCCTACATCGTCATACCTCAAAACTTTAAAAAAAATTAAAAACTCGTCTTCCAGAAAGAAAAAACAAAAGAATTTATCCTGGATATATTTGGAAATGGACATGCGTACAGCAGATATTGGTAGTTTTGTACATAAAACATCCAAACAATTATTATACGAAGCGATAAACAGGGGGATGGCCATAGCCTGTGGCACTTTACTCTATATGAACTCACAATGACCCCAATACTGAGGCCACCACAATTTCAAATAGCAAGTGCCCAAGCTATGACGTATACTGATAATAAAGTCAATGTGAACTCATGGTGAACCCTTGACTGTGTAATGATTTTTCTCCTACCAACGATCACACTCTATTTAATTGCAACTGTAATGCTTATTTAGGATATTGTTTTTACCTTTTCTAATTAAAAAAAACATTCATTAAAAAAAGTAGATCAACCAGAGGTGAATGTGAAGCGGTGAATAAAACACGCTAAAATGGAGTTTTACCTGGCCTATTTGAAACTCAAAATGTCAAGGTGGTAAAATAATAGACTAGTCCTAGTAAAATGCAAGATCCTGTGTGACATCTGTCAGTTTACCCAGCAGTTACAGTACGACCATCTAAGATTGTAAATATGATTTGGTCAACTGTCTACAAACTTTTTGTAATTTTTGGGTGTATTTTATTGGAAAAGCCTATTGCCAGCTTTATTCTAATTAACAACTTGAATTGTTAGCTAATTTTCTATTGAATCGTAACTATAGTTTTAGCATGAAGAATTTATTAATTTTTCTATTGTATTTTGTTAGCTGGTGCTCGAAATGTTTTAAGAAAAGGTTATTATTTATTAATATTGTTTATTGTTATTATTGATTAATCACACCCCCATATTTGTACTTCTACTACAGGCATAGATGATTACCATATTCTTGGTTTGAAGTTAGGGGTTACTAGATATCCTATTTAATGTTGATGATACCAATCAATCATTCAATGTCAAACAAATATTGGTGTGACTAATCAATGAGCCCCAATTTTTGTACAAAGTATCTTTTTATAACACTAATCATTGTTTTATTTTTTTTCTCCTTATTCAAAATCGGTCTATTTAGGGTAAGTAACCATTTTCATTTATGCTCCTTAACTGATAAGCAACCTGAATGATAATTAAAATACCAGAAATATTGTGAGATTATGTAAACACAGAATAGTGGTGTGGATCAGGTTTGAGTTATTAAATACCAAATACTTAGGCTGGTCAGGTTTTTGAAATAAGCTGTATAAAATCCAGTTGTACTTCACAGTTACATTTAAAAAATCAATGATAGTGTGCTCATAACTAACATAACATTAGTAATACCAGTTTGAGTGTTTTGTTCTACTTATAATTTAGCTGGACAGGTGTAGCAACATGGAAATGGATAGCAAATGATGATAACTGCGGCATTTGCCGGATGGCTTTTGATGGTTGTTGCCCAGACTGTAAATTGCCAGGCGATGAGTGTCCATTAGGTAAAGAGAAAATCTTTTTTATTGGGTCTTTTAAATCTGATCTCTTCATTCATACAAATATAATCATGGCATTACTAGAATATCACTCTGACTGAGTGTCCATTAGGTAAAGAGAAAATCTTTTTTATTGGGTTTTTTAAATCTTGTCTTAATTCATACAAATATAATCATGGCATTACTAGAATATCACTCCAACTCCTAACCGACTGTAGGTAACTGATTATACACCATTTCCCCTGAACCAGAACTCCAATTTTTGTTTTTATTTGAGATGTGTATACTTTTATGTTCTAAATCCATCAAAGCCATCATAGTAAAAAAAAATGTAGCCCACATCTCTCACCATAATAGTACTATGATTTCATGTCACCGAGTAATTATAGTGTAAAAATGTTAAGAAAAATCAAAACTTTAAAAAGTTGTTGTGAACATTTTTAAAAACTGGAATTTTTGTATTGTTTCAGTTTGGGGCCAGTGTTCACATGTGTTTCACATCCACTGCATTGTGAAGTGGCTTCAATCACAGACAGTTAGCTCCCCTTGTCCAATGTGTCGCCAAGAATGGAAATGGAAAGCAGGATAAATTTGATGAGCTTTTGGTCTTGTATAGAAAGAGAGAGTCAGATAACTTTGCCTGAGTTTTTGATTTGATAGTGAAAGTTTTGTAGAAAATGTAATGAAATTAATGACAAAGTATGAATGTAAAATCAGCTGTAAAAATCTTAAATAAATGCTACGCTTATAATTTTCAAATGTTTTTTTTTTAATTTCTTAATTCAGCTGTTATCAAAATAGAAGCTAAATTTTATTTTAAAGTAGTTTTAAAAATTTTTTATAGATCTTCTTTTCATTTCATATTGTTAAAAAAGAATTGAAGTCTTTCAATCAGTTATTAAATATTTTGGAACACAATTTGTTGTTAAGGTAGATTATAAAATTAGTTTGAAATTTGTGTGTAAAACAGATGCTAAATGTCTTCATTTGCTTTATGCTAACTACAAAAATAGTTTATAGTGTTAATATATTGTTGATTTAATTGTCATTGTTAATACATTTTTAAATTATATAGGTCTATAATATATATATAATTTTGTGGCTGCTTAAATTTATATTTAAAAACAAATACCAAGACATAAGACTATAAATTGTTTATTGATAATGATATCATTAGTAAAAATGACAGTTTTGGCTAGTGTTATGACACATATCCCTTTTCACCTAAACTCACAACATTCTAAAAACACATTTGCTTAAGTAACTCATGCATCAGACTAGGAACTATTTATTGGGTAACTTTTTACCTTGAGTCTTTCACTACTTCCAGATTGAATTTCATTGACAGTCATTCCATAGTCCAAACATGACATACAATGTAATTATACAAAAACAAAGTTACATTTCAAATAATCTAGAAACACATGTTCTAATTTTTATCTTTGGCAATGTCTCCATCTGTGTTAAACTGATCAGCTGTTAATGTGTAGGGATCTGTCAAGCCAACAACACCACAATCATCAATTGTAACTGGACGGATTGGATTCTGGCTTTTGTCTGTTTCTTCTAAGCCAATTTTCTCAATTGTATCCTGGGGAAAAACATTTTGAAACCTGATAAAGTTTATTCATTATTTTCTTCTTGTATTTATGACAGCCGTGCATTTTTTTAGAAGGCTCTCTCAATCCAAGGGAGATAAGTCAATATTTATTTTTAATCTTAAAAAAAGGTTATCTCCTTTGTAAAGAAAATCTTCAAAAAGTATTCTTCTGAACTTAAAAGTTGGCCAACTGGTGGTGAAAAACTAGTTACTAGCAGAGTTTATCCCCCGCCCCCCCCCCCTCCCGAAGAAAGTCTATCGCCCCCCCCCCCCCCGAACGAAACGGAATTTATATAGAAAATATATACTTTTTTTTTTATCAGTGCCCCCCCCCCCCCTCCCCCGGAAATATCAAGTCCCCCCCCCCCCCCCCGGAAGAAACACTGGTTACTAGGGGATTAAACCTCACAAGGAACCCCACCCAAACCACTATAGTCTTACTTCATTGTAACGCCGTATTTACTTGCAGCCCTATTACTATAGGTACCAGTCTAAAAAAAAAAACTTCCCAATAAGTGAGTAGGCTCCCCTACACACGTTCTGATAAAATAAACATATAACTAAGATCGTTTTTCTAAATGTGAATAGTAATATCTACATGTCGCAAGTGTAAACGCGATGTTAGAAAACTTGACAGTCCTCTTCAACTCACCATTCCTGAGAGAACCTTCCCGAAGATGACGTATCTACCGTCCAACCACCGGGCGGACCTGAGAAGGACGTAGAACTGTGAGCCGTTGGTGTCCGGACCAAAGTTGGCCATGCCGACCCACCCAGCGTGGTTGTGGCTGATGGCGAAGCTCTCATCCTGGAAGTTGTTGCCGAATATGCTGTTACCTGTGGTGTAATTCAACGTTAACCTTTACAAGGTTCATGCGAGCTCCTGGAATTCCAGGAGGTCCTGGAAAACTCATGAAATTAAAAAAAAAATTGTAAAATCTCCTGGGATTCTCATGAAATTTTAAAAAATTGTAAAATCTTCCCGAAATTCTCATGAAATTGTAAAAATCTCCAGAAATTCTCGTGAAATTTTTTAAAATCTCCCAAAATTTTGTGAAAATCCAACCCCTATTTTCGTTTTTGTTCCTTCGATCGGCAAGTTGTAGACTAAGATCTGGATTTAGATCTCAATGATGGATGAGCTGAAATGGTACGCATATTTAAAAAAAAATGTTTTCTGGATATATGATAAAATGTTGCCGTTTTTTTGAGGGACAAATACAACAGCAGAGCCTAGTTCGTGTTTGATACGGCTTGTTTTAGAAATAAACCGGGAGTGATCTCCCCTAAACTTTCTCGAATATTCTTATATAAAACAACAGGGGATGGGAACTCGAACTATAGACATGATTTTTAATCCATTTATTTTAAATACTTAAAGTTTTAAAAATAGAATAGAATCTCTTAGAAAAAAGAATTGCACACCAAGTGAACGCCAAATAAAAAAGTGCATTATAGTGCGCAATATTATTAGTCCTTTAAAAATTTACATTAGTTTTTTGAGAAATCGGAAGTTGCGTAAATTACTACTTCCGGTCAACGGAAATTACTCAAAATTTAACAGAAGATAGAGAATTAGATTTTTTACTTACATGTAAAATTTCATTTATCTATCTGAAATAGTACTCAAGTTATAGGCTTTTGAAAAAATTCAAAGTAGAAAAAATACCACTTCCGGTTATCGGAAATCGCTCAAAAGTTGATACGGATCTACGATTTTGATAAAATACTTATATATGAAATTTCATCAACCTAGCTGTAACAGTACTCAAGTTATCGTGTTTACACACGGACAGACAGACACACAGACATACGGACAGAATTGCAAAGTCCAGTTTTTCAGACTGGATTACGCATAAAACCTCTTAAATTTGATAAATCTGGATTGATAATTTTTGCCCGATTAAAATAAGTCCTCTATACTTCGGATGTGATGAAGGACTGAGGTGTAATACGGTGAAAATTGTTAAAATTTCAAGTGATTTTTGTGCACGATTACAATAATTTCTCTTAACTTCGTATATACGAGAAAGTAAAAATAAAAATGACGTCGCTGCCAATCTTAAATAGATCTAGCAGTGTTGTTTCTGCTGTAACGTGCGCTCTAGGCCTCCTATATGTTAATATTCTGACCTCAATGTGACCTTTCTACCGTTTCTTGTGAGGGAAGGGGGAGGGGGGAGAGAGATACCGGCCACACATTGTAAAAGCAGTCTCGGTTATTATCAAGGTGGCGATCTTTGGCCCCAATGTTTTTTCTAGTAATTCCAAAACACTGTTTCAAATAATTAGTAGACCCCTTCTAATTTAAGCTTATCGGATCTGGGTCTATATTCTATAACATTTTCCATCATATGAACTAACACAGGGGTCGGCAACCTTTTGAACCGGAAGTGCCAAAAGTTACAATTTACATAAGTTCCCAGTTTTTAAAGAGCCACTAACATTTTTACTTACTCGTAAATACGAAGTATAGAGAAAGTCTTGTAATCTCACTGATACGGAAAAACATAATTTTGCTATCTTGTCCGTATGTCTGTGTGTGTTTGTAAACACGATAAGTTTATCATATATAACTATTTTATCAAAATCGTAGATCCGTATCAACTTTTGGGCGATTTCCGATAACCGGAAGTGGTACTTTTTCTACTTTGAATTTTTCAAAAGCCTATAAGTTGAGTACTATTTCAGATAGATAAATGAAATTTCACATGTAAGTAAAAGATCTAATTCTCTACCTTCTGTCAATTTTTTTAGTAATTTCCGTTGACCGGAAGTACTAATTTTCGCTATTTCCGATTTCTCAAAAAACGCATGTAAATTTATAAAGTACTAATAATATTGCGCACTATTATGAACATCTTTATTTGGCGTTCACTTGGTGCGCAATTCTTTTTTCTACGAGATTCTATTCTATTTTTAAAAGTTTAAGTAATTAAAAAATCATGTCTATATTCCGAGTTGCCATCCCACGTAGTGTTATATAAGAATAGTCGAGTTTATTATTTCAACAATTTGGCATTTGATTAGGTTTAGATAGATATATACATTTGATTTTTTATTTAAAATATTGCTTTAGATATCAAAGAATATTTTTACTTAAAAACTTACTAATATTTCGCATACTTAAGTATTTTAGCTAGCTCTGCTATGATAAAATTAGTAATCAAATTATATAAGTATACGACTATCCCAATCTCTTTAGAAGCCAATTATGTTTTTTTTTTTTTTCTTTACGGACACCACCGGCTCAGGAGGTGTCTACAATGGCCAGGCAGACCTCAACACGGTCAACTACGACTAACCGGGCTTATCTTCCAACCCACTGAACGCAGGGTAAACTCGTACCCCACCGGCTCAACAGTAGGAAGTTAATAACTTAAAACACGTCACTCAGGTCTAAATAAATCCTTACTGACCAATGGAGAATGCATTATGAATAATAAATAATATTCCCTATTTAACGATATTCGAAAAGGTCGGCACTTGGGCAGTGGCAAGCATGGAATTGTTGCCACGGGGCTGGCTACAGCACCGCTTTGGGGCTGGTCTGGTGCCCAAGCGGGTGTCAGCAGTCCCTATACTTTCTACCTCACCTTCTCTTATATTTTCATACTATTTAAAGTTGTTTTTCGTTATATTTTTAGTGAGCTTTAAAAATAATTAAATAATCTTTAATATTTGTGCATGGAACTGGAGAGCCGCATATTGACATCAAAAGAGCCGCATGCGGCTCGCTAGCCGCAGGTTACCGACACCTGAACTAGCACTTTCTTAATTTTAAAATCTCCTGGAATTTATTTAAAACTCCAGGAAAACTCAAGGAATGTAGTTTTGGAGCATAAAACTTAATTATAAATATTTCAAGCTATTTGAATTTTAATGTCGCTTGTGTTACATTTATATATAGTGTCTTGACCTACTTTTTTTTAGTACACAATGTAGAAATGCCAACTAGGCTATTCTGTAATTAGCCATACACGCATAAATCCTAAGCTTAATTGAAAATCATAATCAGATTATCTTTGCCGGAAGTAACCTATACTTAGTATTGGGGAACATGACCGTTGTATAAGACGAGTAAGATTGTTTCCCTTGATTCTAATATATTAGTAAGATTGTTTCCCTTGATGCTAATATTAAGCCTCAAGCCCCATCTAATTAGGCCTATTTGTTTACTGCTCAAATTAACCTTTGAGGAGCGCACAAATATCCCTTTAACTACCGTTATAATCCTGCAATAGTTTCAGGATATTTTTATTTTTATGCCTTAAGAAGTTGGGCCTGCATAAATCGAGATTAATAGGCCACCTACCTGATTCGTGTTTAGTTCTAACATCTCCCATCTGAATCATGAAGTCACGAACTATCGTCTGCACTTTGGTGTTTTTGTAACTCATTGTTGACTAGCCGTATCATAAGATATATGTAAAATAAAATAATATTAGTGCATTTCTTCAAATTTTTCAACTAAAATACCGTTATTTATTTTTACGAAACATTGATAGGCCTACATGTTGAAGTTGAAGTGTTAAGCTAGGGTCTTTTGGGCATCGCGAGAAAGTCATATCACGAAGTTAGGCATTATTTATATTATATAGGACAACATTTAGACCCCCCCCCCTCAATAATACAAGACTCCCAAGAGACCCTCGGCTAGAGAAGATAACGTGCTGACACCTTTTTTCACTAAAAATGTGTCTTGGCGTCACAACTTGAGCATCAGGCAAATTCTCGGAAATGCAATACTAGAATAAATGCTAAAGTTAATAATTTAACATGTTAATTTTCTTTAAAAAGTTATGAACCCTGTGTTAATCTTTGAAGCCTACATGTAGTTATGTTTGTAGTTTTATGTATGTTCAGGAGCGTAGCGAGGGGGGGGGGGGCGGGGTGCGGACCGCACCGGGTGACACCATTTAGGGGGGGGGGGGTGACACCAAGGCAAAAAATAGCAAAATATATAGAGAAAAATGATAATTCCACCAGGGGCGGAACTAGAAAAAACGGGCCCCCCCGCAGAATTTTTTTTGGGCCCCTATATATATATATATATATATATATATATATATATATATATATATATATATATATATATATATATATATATATATATATATATATATATATATATATATATATATATATATATATATGTATATATACATATATATATAATGTATATATACATATATATATAATGTATATATATATATATATATATATATATATATATATATATATATATATATATATATATATATATATATATATATATATATATATATATATATATATATATATGTATATATATATATATATATATATATATATATATATATATATATATATATATATATATATATATATATGTATATATATATGTATATATATATATGTATATATATATATATATATATATATATATATGTATATATATATGTATATATATATATATATATATATATATATATATATATATATATATATATATATATATATATATATATATATATATATATATATATATATATATATATATATATATATATATATATATATATATATATATATATATGGAAAACAAGGGTCGCTCTAAATTTAAAAAAAAAAGAATTCCATCTGGTACACGAATAAATCAGAGGTTTTCCAACACACGAGCTGGCCCCTTTCAGTTTTCCAAGTGAGAAGCACGGACTCTCTAAATCTAGTCCAACACACCAAACTGAGGCTTTCATCAAAACGTTACCAACCGTGTGCCCTGTTTTCCAGAAGTTGAATTCAATGTTAACAATGTCGGCAGTTCATTTCTTGGATCTTAGGGCTCGGGTTTGTCCACACTACCAACTAGACACGCCAAGGCATGCTGCGACGGCCCAGGTGTCAGGGGAGTCACGGGGCTCTTGGAGCTACCGGTTACATTACTGCACGGGTGATGGGTGCAACACATTGTTTCTTCCGGCAGAGCTCCCCCCCCCCCCTCCCCTAAAACAGTCTACCCGGGAAGAAACATTGGTGCGACACCTAATTAGATTTAGTCGTCGAGTGTTGTAGCGAGACTTATTCCAAGTGTTGTGGGAACTTATAAGCGACTGTCTGTGGGGGCCAACTTGCTCATATGTGATGCGCTCAGGATGACACTGCCGCCGGTTGTATTCAAGTAGTAACCTCATCTGCTTATGCAGGATCTTCGGGCGTTAAATCACATATTTCCGTTGGGCGTCCCCACTCCAATATGTACAAATGTTAGGCCTATGACAGAAACCTATGCGGGACTGTACTCAACAGCTTCCCAAGTTTTCATGGCGATTGGGTGAATGATGCAGTAATGCATAATAGAGAGAAAAATGTTTTTCACATGTACAACTGTATGTGGCCAGGTCACTCGTTGGATAACCTTCTGATTTAGGGGAGGGGGGGAATCGGCAAATGATGTCCCATTTTTTAACGACTAACAAAAAGCCAGACCCTCACACACACCCACCTCAATGACGTCATTTATAAATAGTAATTTACTATTAATAATGTTCAATTAATTCTAAACGTTCTAATTAATTTCTAAATAATTATATAAAAAATAATCTTACCTGCCCTGTTTTGTGAATTAGATGTGCCTAATACTATGAAAGTAAATTAATATCTGTTGACTAGATCTAGTGCTGTCTAGTGTCTGACAAAATGTGCTGAAGTGGTGAATCGTACGGTTAGGAAGTAGTTCATAAACGATACATATATCTCCTCGATACTTGTGAGGTTGAGAAAGAGGGGTGGGATAGGGTTCGGCTCGGGAAAAAACTTGAAAGAGACAACAAAATGCCGCAAAGAAAAACCGCGCATCATGAAAGCCCAATTCATATGTAGCGGCTTTTCGTGCTATGGACTTTGTTGTTTTTTTTAAAAAGAATTTTGCCGGCGACAGCGTGTTTTTGATTGTAGGGAAATAGAACTCGGCCTTGACGATGGTTAAAAAATACAACTATAAATAACTCTTTTAAATATGTAAAAAATTTGTCGACAATTTTTTAACCCCCTTTTTGGTCCCCATCCCCTGCCCCATCCGCCACAGTACACTTTGGAGGATCGGTCAAACAGTTACGTGTCCTCTATTTAGCTATCAAGGGGGGGGGGGGGGGGCAAAGAGTCAAAGAAGTCATTCAAATTTGAAGAGTTGCCTATATTTTACACTGTAGTTTGTGTAAAGGATTTTATCTTTTGCGGAAGAGCGAGGTATAGTGACTGTAAAATAAAGATAATCGTACCGCAGCTACAGTGTTTTTCTTTTACAAACCAAAAATTAAGGCAAAAATACACGAAAATTTAATTCAAAATTTTTAAAAATATTAATTTTGGTCAGCCGTGGGCCCCTAAATGGCCTGCCCCCCCCCCCCCCCCCCGCACATTGCGGGGTCTGGCGGGACTGTAGTTCCGCCCCTGTTCATCAGGAAAATGAACAATTACTGACTAGTGTCTTTAACAAAATGTACAGAAGTGGTCAGTTTACAGTTCAGTAGTTCATAGACGGTTCGTTAATCTATGCACTACATCTTATTGTAAGAGTAAGGGTGTGATGAGGGGTAGAGGTTAGGGGGGAGGGTGAGAGGGGAGGGGAGACAGTTGGGAAGGTTCATTGGAAGGGGACAAGAAAGCGCCGATAAACATCTACATCAATAGAGCCGACTTTTTCCGATCGTCTAGAAGACCAGGATAGTCGCCCCATCATTTCCCCAGCCCGATTTCAAAGCGTGCCGGCACAACCAAACTTTAGATGCTTCGCTGAAGGGAAATCACAAGTTTATTTTACAAGTTTATTGATACAGTTGTTAAAGTTAAAAATGAACGAAATTATAAATGTATGAGATCGAAATAAATAATTATATTTTTTGTAGAATTCAGGCCAGTAGTTTAAACACACAATCATAGATATGTATTTTAATAATGTAAACAATATAACAATGCTTTTTTGTTCTTCTAATAAACGCCACTAAAAAGAACGGTAGGCTACGTCTTGAAGTTGTCTATATGTCTGGCGGTCTCTCGAGCTATATTGTCTGTACATTTTTCTCAAAGACGTTTGCCGACTATCGTGTTTGTTTGTAACTGTAGAAGAAAGAAAACTCGACATCCACCTTTTTTTTTTAAATTTTTAAAATAATTTAGCCAGGATTTTTGGGCCCCCAATCGGTCTGGGCCCCCCCGCATTGCGGGGTCTGGCGGCACTGTAGTTCCGCCCCTGAATTCCACTTAATTGAGTGATTAATTCGAGTGTTAAATAGTGTTTTAAGAGGTGCAAATCGAAAGTTTGAGGAGGGGGGGGGGTGCAAATCGAAAATTGAAAGTCTGTCCCCGGGAAGGGTCGCTACGCCTCTGGGGGGTGACACCATTAAGTGCCGCACCGGGTGACACCCGACCTCGCTACGCCACTGCGTATGTTTTCTGTATGTTGCCGACTGCATAAGTAATTTACACATCACTGATGATAAACTATGTGAATTGCTTATCCAGCATTACATAGCAATTCAAGCTTCAACAATCGCAAGAGCATATCACTCAGAAGGCATCATCCTCTCACATCTTATACATTTTCACACAAAATTAACTCGAAGATAAAAATAAAACAATAGTAAAATCTTGCTTTAAAAATCGGCTTTAAAAAAAGTGTTTGCATCTTCAAGGAAAAAAAAACTTGATCTGCTTTGTCAACAGAGCATGGCGGGACTTTAGGTGAAATCAATGATGCGATAGGCACAGATGTTTAGGAGTTTTAATGCAAAGATTTTTCTAAGCTTTGAGAAATTGATTTTTTAGGTCTGTGTAGCAAACGTGTGTTACATGGTGACATTCTTGTGTGTATAATATGAGAGGGGGTTGAATTTTTCAAAACCAAATATAGGCCAACAATGGCGGTTGAATTGGTTGAAATAGTCTATTCTATTTTTTGTGTTTTTTTTTATTAGACTGAATATTTTTTTCAACTACTACAGTCTTTATATTTATAAAAATAGTTCCAACAGTGAAAGCTCGCAAACTGCACTCTTAAAAAGAAACTATGTCGTGATAGTGAGACTGGCCCAAATATTGCAGTAACTCTTACCCTTCCCTTTTTGTAGCCTTTGGCCAGAGAAACAAAATTGAGACACGTGATGGGGGTGAGTTTGCCAAAACAACCAATTGTCACTCTTCCTGTGAAGTCTTCATCAGGGCCATAGTAGTCTTGAATCCTCAAATCAAACCATATCTCCTCTGTCACTGTTAAACTAAAACAAAACATTTTTTTTTCAGTTTTCTGAATAAATAAACTTAGTACTGTTATGGTTAATTTACAAAAAATAATAATACACATCGTTAAAATACGTATTTGAACACATCATCAAAGTACTTATTTGACATGTAAAAAATACTAACTAAGCTAACTTTGCTTACATCAATCAAATTTAATATAAGGATATTAAAAGTTTTTTTTAAAAAAAGTTCATGGAGGTCTATTTCTTTGCAATGGTGCCGATATGATAGTGGGTCACGTTAAAAAAGCTCACTTAGCAAGAAAAAAAAGTCTACATCACTTAACCCCTTAACGCCGACAGTCGCGTTTTCGCGACATACCGATTTAGCGCATAGTATTTGCGCATATGTACATTGATCCTACTGCCGTCGGTCGTTGTGTATTGGGTACATCCAGACGGTTGTATTGGTACCAGCGGTCACGTTGTCAAGTCGAAATTTATGACGTCACACTCTCTTGACTCACGCGCATCGTAATTTTTTTGACTTCGTGAATTCAGCCTACTTACATTGATTATTATTACTAAATAGGTGATCCGTTTCTGCTACAAAAAATACTAATAGCTTTATTATTCATTCTTTTATGTATATAAACAATATAAATCACATATGAGAATAATTTTGGAAGTTATCTGCTAATTACGGTTTGTCGCGTTTTCGCGACATCCGGCAATAAGACATCAAATGGAACTTGGGTGCCAAGCAGGTATAACGAAATACGATGCATCGCCAAGCTGTCATTCATTCAAGTATGATTATAAATAAGTAAAGGATTTACAATATGGTCTTCGCCTATATATAAAACTGCACTTTAGAACGTTACGGTCCATGTGGTAGGTGAAGTAGAGTTCACCTGTTTCATTGATATTAGCATATGGAGAGAGAGCGATGCTAGAATAATGTGATCATGTTGCTGGGTACAATATAACGAATTTAGCTTTGAAATAGTGTTGTACAATATTAGGAGAACATAAAAAACAAAATAGACAACAGGAAGTGAGGTGGTGGACCACTATCCTGGATACCACCAAATAAAGGTCTTCACAGTGACCTTGACAATAATTACATTGAGCATAGACCTACACCTCGTAATAAATACAGTAAGGTTGAGTGCTGACACACATACCCTTTGCAGTGCTATTGAATAACCACATTAGTGGCATTATACTGGCATTTAGTACCTACACCAGTGTTATTGAGTATCCACATCTTCAGCACTGAGTACCAACATCAGTGACACTGAGCAACCACAGTTTGAACAATAAGCAATCACAGCAGTGCTACTGAGTACCCACTGCTAAGGATGAGTACCTATATCAACGTTATCGATAACCAACAGCTCCAGCGCTGAGTACCCACAGCAGTTACACTAAGAACAGACTGCAGTAACACTGAGTACCCACAGCTTCAAGAGTGAGTACCCACAGCTTCAGCACTAAGTACACATGGCTTCAACACTCAGTACCCACTGTTTCAGCACTGAGTACCCATAGCAGTGGCAATATGTAGCTACAGCACTGTGTTTGGTAATCAATATCAGAATCAGTTGAGAACAATAGCCATAGCACGAATTGCAAACATAGGGTACCATCAACAATAGCAGTGAGTACCCACACCGGTGGCACTGAGTACCCACAGCAGTAACACTAAGTACCCACAGCAGCTGCATTGAGCATGGACGAATATACAATGGCTGAACACTGTCATTTAGGACATTATTTGTTCACGTGATTTGTGTGTATAGCAAATATTGGTCAAATGAGAAATATGCGTCTTTATTAGTTGACCTTGAATAAGAGTTCACGAAAATTACGTAACCGGGGACAACTAAGGCTCTACACATTGAAGGAAGTCCTTTCATATGTAGTGTGTTACTGTAGTGTAGTAGAATTACGACAGCAAGACATCAAAATACCTATTCATAAGAGTTAGTCAGTGAGCAGGTGCAGCAGAGTTATGTAACTCTATGCCTGAGCTAATAAAATATAGTTTTCATGAGTTTTGCAAGTGATTCTACATCTCCTTGCATGTCCGTATGTTTAGTTTGTGATATTTTATTGTTTGTGCATGGATATTTAGAGAAACATGTGACAGTAAAAATAGTAAAATGACCCGGACTTAAAAAAAAATTAAATTACTGTTTGGTCCATAAGTGCCTGATGTCGCGTTTTCGCGACATACCGTAATTATCATCAAAAATAAGTCAGAAGTCAAAAACAACTATATATCTCAAATTCAGTGACAGTATGATGAGAGAAAATCAGCACAAATAATTTTTTACACACTTGGAACATAATTCAGGCATTAAGGGGTTAACAAACAAAAAACATTCTTGCCTTGTCGGCGGAGGAAGAATTTCTTTCCCTCCGTACACCCGTTTCTCTGTACTAACTGGTTTGACGTCAAACTCGTCTGATTCTATTTCGGCATCTTCTTCCAGAGAGACGGCAGTAGCTAGGAGTGACACCACAAGTGTCAACACCAAGGCTACTGTATAGGGAGCCATGATAAGTTGATGCCTAGTGTCAAAGTAGACAATGTTCATAAAATTATTTCATTATAACATCCTTAGTAACTTAAAAAAAATAGATACAGTTCTTTTTACTTTTTTGGTTAAATTATACAATTAAGAAGTCATACTTTCATACAAGTATACTATCATTATCAAACAAAGACGTAGTCCTCGCATTTATTCAAAAGTGATGGTCACGTAATTACCATTGTTGCAAAAAAAAAAAAGTACACTAATAAACACACTAGAGTCAAAATATAATTTTTCCAATAGGTTTCTGAGTAGGAATAATTTATAGGAACAATTAGGAAAAAACTTCAACACGTACCCGGGTGACCGTTGGAGAAGACAAGTGGTGTGTAACGTGAGTATAGTTTTACAGCCGACACTTGGCCACGCATACAAGGTAACGTGTGCGGCACGAAGGTCGATGTCAGGATTGATTTTTCACGCGATGTTTTTTTTTTAATGTCTTCCATGGGCCCTTGTTTGTGTCGCGTAATTTATGACAACATACTCATGATAACTTCTTAATTTTATATATCATTGTAGAAATAGATATCCACTTTTTAAATGTAGACCTACATTCAGTGGCGTAGCGAGGTCGGGTGTCACCCGGTGCGACACTTAATGGTGTCACCCCCCCCCCCCCCCAGAGGCGTAGAGGGACAAACTTTCAATTTTCGATTTGCACCCCCCCCCTCGAACTTTCGATTTGCACCCCTCCCCCTCAAATTTTTATCTATATATTTAACTATTTTTGCCTTGGTGTCACCCGGGGCGGTCCGCCCCCCCTCCCTCCCCTCGCTACGCCTCTGCCTACATTTAAAGTTTTTGTAAGGGCTTGTCCATAAATGACGTTATACATCTAAGAGTGAGAGGGGGGGGGGGGGTTGTTAAGGCTTTAGTGTCCAAGTTTGAAGAAATTCTTATTATGTGGCCTTTTTTTGTCAACAGACATTTTCCTCCGGGGGAGGGACTACACTTGAAACATTAGGGGTGGAAGGTTGGCCTTAAATTTCTTACTTTCTCCCCCTCCCCCAACGAGCGTATATTTGCTGCTGGATTAAGTTGCTGATACAAATGTATAAATTTAGCAGATCTTTATCAATATCCGGAAACATTTTCCAGACGACTGTAAGATAATAAGCGGCACCATCTAAAATATTTTATCTGAAGCCAACAAAGACTACTTTTACTAGTTTCAGACAGAACACGACTTTTCTCATAGAAAGATTCCCTTTATCTCGCTCATCTCTACAGTAGAAATGTCCAATAGTGTACATACATTATATTACCTGAAAAAAAGGTTTGCGTGTACTGGGCAAGAATGTGTATGGTACACCATGTTGTGGGAGGGGGGGGGGGTCATTAAAAAAATGACTTCAAGCTATCCTTGACGTCGTAGCCCTTCCCCACCGTCACACATCGTCACAAAAAGCCAGACTCTTTTATTAAGACCATCACAACTCAGCCTATAATCCCCTCTATATTTATGTTTTCTAAAACAGTTTTTTTTAAACTAAAATATTGTCAGACATCGGTCTATTTAAATGTACAAAAACAGTTTTATAGAGTCTAATAAAGGTTAAAATTCAGTTTCTAACATTTCATTTTAAAGCGAGAGTGTATAGTCACACTATTTGACCCCCATCCTCACCCTCATCACACATTGTCACAAAATTACTAACCCCCATACCAGTAGCGTACGCAGGGGGGGAGCAGGGGGAGCGGCCGCTCCCCCTCTGGCCATTTTCAGCAAAGTGGCGCCTTTTTGGAAACTTTTTAAACTCAAAGTTTTAAACAATGATGTTTGTTTAAAAAATATTTTTGGTCGGCACATCTATGTAAATCACAAGATTTCTTTTCATGCAGCAATAAAGCATTATTGTACTAGTCTAGTAGTGTCTACGTTTACAACACGGATTAACAGCTGCATCAGTTTGCCATTCTAAAAATAACCATTAAGATGCATTGCAATGTTTAAAAAACCTCTATTGTAGTACCACTTTTATACCCATAAAAGTATGTTTAGTGTCGCGTGACTTTTTTTTTATCCCCCCCCCCCCTACCCCTTTCTCGACACCAAGTTCACCTTCCATCATTTAACTGACCGCTTGACCGTGTGAGTAGCTATTGATCACCCTACCGGTCAGATAACAGTGTTACAAAGTGCGGTCTGTTTGTCCAACGCCAATGGTGTTTTATGCCTTGACGGTTCGCCGTCCATCTCCATTGAACCACTTATCATTATGTTAAAAAATGATCTTTAAAGAACACAAAAAGTCGGTTGATTACTTTACATGTATGATCTGAATTGCAAGTCCTATATATTGGTTATCTGTAGGCTATTTATCCGAATTTAATGATTGTAAATTGAAAAGCTGGGGTTTATACCAACTCTTATTAAAAAAAAACTTTCATTATGCTGTAATACTTTAGCATTTATAATAACAATATATTTAATTCTGATTGTAGACAAAATATTTTTATAAAACCGAATAGCGTTAAGCTACTTTATTAGATTATTAAGTAATTATTGAGTTGTTTTGATATTTATAATTAAATGTGTAGACATATACATATTTATATTAAAAGAGTGATTATTTCCCCTTTTCGCTAGTCTTGATGTCCCAGGAATTATTATGTAATTTGTTTTACAAGGATTTTTTTGTTTTGCCAGCCTACATTTTTTTGTTTTCTCGGCCTACAATGTGTATGTTTTTTAAATTTCTTCAGAGTGCTACTTTCAATTTATTTTACATCATAGCGAAGCAACAACATACAGCTAATATATATATATATATATATATATATATATATATATATATATATATATATATATATATATATATATATATATATAATATACTAGCCGTCCCGGCCAGGCCCTGCTCTGGCTTCTGTGAAAAACCTTTCTGTTAAAGACCATTACCTGTGTGTTTAGTAATCATCATAAACCCGGCATTGCCCACCCAAACCACAACCAACCAAAACCAAAACAACAAAACGCAAACATAACGCTAACACAATTACAAATACAAACGAAAACAAAAACTTAACAACAAACACAACCACACCCACAAACACCAATACAAACACAAAGAAAAAACAAACAAAAAAGCAAACGAAAACAAAAACCTAACAACAAACCCAACCACAAACACCAATACCAAAAAAAAAAAATCAACGAAAAAAGCAAACGAAAACAAACCAAATCCAAACGCAAAACCAACCAAAAACACAAATACAAACCCAAACAAAAAAAAAACACAAACAAAAACGAAAAAAGAAAGAACAAAAACGAACCAAATTAAAACGCAACCACTAACGCAAACCCACCTAAACACAAAGAAAACACTAACGCGAACATAAACGCCCGGGTCGGAATCACCTGTTTTAGCTTAATGAACGACTATAGTACCCCAACTTATTCACAGTCTTTTGCACTCACTTAAACGAACGCGCCTGTTTCAATTTAATAAACAATTTTAATACTCCAAGCTTATCCGTAAAATACCTACAACATTTGCACTTGATCAATCCCCGCTAATTATGTAATTATTTTTTTTCCCAACACCAAAACAAAGTAATTAAAAAGTAAATTATTTTCACGGAATGCGATTGTTTTATAAAGGGAAGTAATTGTGTTTTTCCTAATTTATCAAAGGGAAGTAAGTGCTATAGGACTAAATAAAGACATAATTAGAATTTTTGTAAAAGATGATATTTTTTTTAAAACTTGTGTTTAATGAACATGCCGACAATTATTACTATAATTTGAAAAATGAAAATTATTTCCCAACACTTTCAATGGTAATTTTTTAGCTCATAAATTTAGACAAATGCGCACGATAATTTTTCTAACACTTAAAATCGTACAATTCCAACGACATACAAATGCATTACATACAGAACTGAGCTTTATATATTAGATATATATATATATATATATATATATATATATATATATATATATATATATATATATATATATATATATATATATATATAATACACGTATATAGAACGTGTTAAAAATCCGGCGCCTTTTTTGCTCTTTTCGCTCCCCCTACAACGAAAACCTGGATACACCTCTGCCCCATACCATACCCCCCTAGGAGTGTGACGTCATTTGTGGACAACGCCGTACAGAGCCTATTATATATTATTGTTTGAGGCTTGACAACCTACTGATGGACTTAGGGGTCATCCATAAATGACGTCACCCTTATTTGACGATTTTTACCTCCCCTTTCCCCTCCGTCACACATCGTCACAAAAAAGCCAGACACCTCCCCCCCTAAAACGACGTCACACCTCAGTCTACAACACCGCTCAAAATTGCAGTTGAATTTTTCTTAAAACATCGATATTTTTCCAAAATCTTGTCTGAACTCTGTCAAAATAGAGTATTTTAATCAATTCCTATTAAAACAGTTTTCTAAAACGCAAAATAATGTCTAAAATTCGTTTTCTAACATTGCTTTTTTATAATGCAAAAGTGTGACGTTGCACAATCTGAACCCCTCCCCCCCTCCCTAACACACCGTCACAAAATTACGGAGCCCCCCCCCCCCCCCTCCCCACGAGTGTGAGTGACGTCATTTATGGACGACCCCTTATCTATGTTTGTGTGAAAGAAAAATTGCATTTTTAAATAATACTTATTATTTTTTTAACGTTACAAATAATTATTTTATGGGTAGAGCGTATAGGCTTTCGATTGGTCCTGTTTCATTTGTACTGGTTAGCCTAAAAATTAAAAATAGTAATAACATTAACTTGTGTACAAAAATAAGTTTGATTTGTCTAGTAGTATCTAGCAGTATATTATAGGGTACTATTGTTAAACTTATTAACATTTCAAGATATCTAATTTTAATTTAGTCTAATCTATCTTGAGTTTGAAGACAGTTGCGTTAGTCGCTGGTTAGTCTATCAAGTAGATCTATCACTAGATTTTACTATCTAGAAATCTAGATCTAGATTAGATTCTACCTCTAACAAATTAACAACAACATGGATGAAAATGGTTTTAGTGAAAGTGCATTAGTTGGAGAAACTTTTCTTAACAGTTTACCTGACCAAGTGGCTGCTTTATCGCAAGCTAAAAAAGAACATGCGATCGAAGTGGCGAAATTAAAAAGCATTCTAAAAGAGTTGGAGGTGAAATTTAGAATAGATATTAGATAAGGATTCTAGTAGTTTACAGATCCAAAATTTATGTATTATAATAGTAATATCTAGATTCTAGACCTAAACTGTAGAACAAATAGTAATATAACTAATACTCTAATAATAGTAATACTGACTCTTGGCCTGCCTTCCACGTTATACTAAATTAATATAAAATTATACTTACTTACTAATGTATTACTAATACTTACGACTTACAGTGTCATTAAGTTAGTCATAATATAAATAATATTATTCTCAAATGGGCAGGGGCCTATAATAATCATTATTTTACACTGTTGTAATGATTATAGATATAGGCCCATAGCCCAATGAGAATAATGTCTTCTTGGAGACGTTAGAAAACACCAAGCTGTAAAAGCGCACCTAGCAGTTCCATCTCTTCCTCTCTAGGCATATCGCAACCACCCCCACCCACACATGGTCTGGTGAGCTGTGGTTCACGCTAAATGTTTACAATCGTAGAGCCGGGTTTAGTGACACCTATTAGGGGCAGATAATTTAGTTTGAAAACTATTTTAAACTTAGGGGAGGTAACTAAGAGGAGGCTGCTTTCACGGGGGGGGGGGGGGGAAAGGAGGGTTTTCGTGCTTTATGTTTTAAAGCAAATATTTTCAGTGACAGCATTGGTACTGTCGAATTCACAAATTATGAATTACTGAAAAGTCGGCTCGTATACTATACTAAACTATATACTAACTGTATGTTGTATAGAATATACTAATTGTGTAATCATACTAGATCTCTATTATTATGATAATAAATATAATTATTTATTAAAATTATCAATCAAATTTATAAATAAAGTATAAAGATTTAAATGTTTGAAAAATACTTGAAATTGACTAATTGACTAATTTAACTTTAATATTTCATACCAGGAGAAACATTTTGTAGGTGAGTTTGTTTTTGACATTTTTTTGTGATGATGTGTGACCAGTGTTTCTTCTAGACTTTTTTCTCCTGGGGGCACTTGAAATTTACAGGGGGGTGGACACTGGTAAAAATATATATTTCCTATATAAATTCTATTTTGTTCGGGGGGGGGGGGGGGGAGGGTGTAGATGTTTTTGGCCCCCCCCCCCCCCCCCCCCCCCCCCCCCCCGAAGAGATGCCTGGAAGAAACTGTGTGTGACACTGGGAAAAGTATATATTTTTTATAGGAATTGTATTTTGTTCTGGGGTGGGGAGCGGTAGACATTCCTTGGCAGGGGGAGTGGGTGCCTGAAATAAACTTTACCTGCAGACCATTTTTAATATTAAACTTATAATGTTAGTGTCTTTATTATCGAGTATCGATGACTTCATTATTTTTGTGGCGTTTTGTTTTGAAAATTTCCTATATGTTCCATGTGATGTTACAGTTCTAGATTTTTTTTTGACTGTGAAAGTTTTTATTTTCTTTGTGTTTTCTCTAGTGCGTTCCAGAATTATAGAGTGACAGAAAAGCGAAACTATTATTATAGATAAAGTTTATGCCTGTTATTTTGTATATAGCTTCTTTTGTTGTTATTTCTAAATTATTGATATCTTAACAGAAAAAGTTCAAAAGGATAATTTGATTATTGAAGCAAATGGTCTGTTTTCAAGTTTGTGTGCTCTAGAAGCTGATGGAAGTAGGATAAAAAAACACAATGAAGAACTTGAAAAAGGTTTGATCCATGTTGTAACTACAAAAAAAAAATCATAAAGTATCTCAGGTGAAAATTTTTAGTTCTATAACGGAATTTTTTAAACTCAAATAACAGGGCACTGTTCTAACAATTTCCCACTTTAAAAACTAACGTGCATAGCAATAACATTGATTAAAATTAAATTTAATTATATTCAGTGTTAGAACAATTGATGTCTTTTTACAGAAATATCAGAAGCTATATGGAGAAATGAAGATCTGAAAAGAAGAATTATTTTAAAAGAAGATGAAGTTAAGAAAGAAAAAAAGTAATTTTTAAAAACTGTTAAAGATTATTAAAAGAGTATTATTCTACTGCCATAATCAAATTTTACAACTTATATTAAAGCGGACCATGTTTCTCCAGCCTTCTAAATCCTTTACTATTTATCAGATGAGAAAAGTATTAAGAATATTTTAGGCAGCTTGCCTTGAAAACATTTAACAATTTTTTTTTATCAGGAAACATTCAGAATATTTGAAAAAAATAGAAAGCTATAAATCAGAATTTTCTCAATATGAAAGTTCCAATCCTGTAAGGTTTGAGCTTGATAAAGTCAAGAAAGAAACAGAGGAACTAACAACCAGAAGTAAGTGTAACACTTAAAACTCAGATATAAATTTTTTTTAAATTTAGTTTTAGTTTTATTAGTTTTTCCTGGTCGCTTAGTTAAACAAACCTGCTCTTTTCTTTGTTTACTATATCTAAAGAACAACAACTAGAGGAGCAAATAAAAAAGTGGGATAGTGAAATAAGCTACTCTAATAAATCAGATGTTGAGATAAGATCATCAATAGAAGGTATAGAGGCTTCAGTTGAAGAAAAGAAAATAATAAATAATAACATTATGCAGGTATGTTAGTTAATTTTAAAACTACAAACTAGTTTTTATTTTATTTTTGTAAATTTATTATAAATTATAACTATTATAAGCCTTTGCTCTGGTCACTATGTTAGTTTAAATGTGTAACTTAAATTTGTACTTTAATGGTATTGGTAGCCTACTGATTTGTCAACAGCAGTTCGAGACTCATCAACAAGAAAGGCAAAGACTGGAAATAGATAACCACATTTTGAAGGTAGGCCATGATACTGTATTCAAAATTAATAACGTAGTATTGACACTGAATATCAACTACATTATAATTATACAGTCAAGTTACAACTTACTTACAAATCTATCTAGAAAAAAAATTCAGCTTTATTGACTAGACTGAAACGTCAAGTGGAAGAGCAAAAAATAAAATACCACCAGAGCATCGGATATAATAAAAATTTCACAATGAGCAAGAATAGCTCCACTAGAGAGTTGGAAACTGAAAATCAAAATTAGTTAATTATTTATAATATAATTAAAGTAATGTATTGAATTCTCAGTGTTTGCTCATACATGTTTGTATATTATTTAATTAAACAAAAAATAACATACTCAGCATTAATTTCTCTTTAAAAAATTAATTTTCAGTGTTAAGATCCTTTATTAGTGATTTCTATTCTCAGTCTATCATCATTCACTAAATTACATGATTTTGACTTAGTCCTAAAAAGATATCTACTCTCTTAATCAGTAATAACTAGTGTATGTAATTTGTTGAAAGTTTATGTTGTGTAAAGAATGTGGAATTATTTACTATTTGTTAATTTTGGTATACAGTATAGTAGATTACTGTTGTTGCACAGGTTTTGACTGTGACTTAAGGCAGGTTATGTATTGTGAAATCATATGACAGTGGAATATGTGGTTTGTCCTGTTCTGACTGTTCATAAGAAAGAAATGTTTCCATTCTATTGTTGAAGTGTTGTTTGAATGCATTGTTTATACCATGTATTATTACTATACGAGCCGGCCCGCGGCATAACATACGCCGCTATTTAGTTGTTTCTAATTTTCAATAATTCATAATTTGTGAATTCGACAGTACCAACGCTGACACTGAAAATATTTCTTTAAAACACTATAAGTAGCTCGTTAAGGACCATAACCCCCCCCCCTTTCCTTCCCTCCCCCCCCCCTACGTTTAAAATCGTTGGCTCTGCTTGTAAACATTTAGAGTGAACACAGCTCACTAAAACCATGTAGGGGTGGGGAGGTAGGGAGAGCGTTTGCAGCTTGTTTTCTAACGGCTCGAAGAAGAGAATTATATATATAGATGTCTAATAAATTCAATGAAAATGTATTATTTGTAGTCAGACTCCATCCACACTATTGTAATGTACTGGTTATTAAATTTTGTGATGATTTAAATGGTTGGCTCACACAAATTTCCACTTCTGTACCTTGTGAGCACAAATTTGAAATAATCAACTTGGATATCTATCCACTTTATACCATACCATTTGATTTGACTGGTTTTCCCCACTAAAAGTACTAAGACTAGCTAACATATTACTGATGTATTATTTGTGTTTAATTTTTTTTAACCAGTTTAAACCACTAACAGCATATCTCAGGATTGGCTTTCATCTGCTTACCAAAAGGACTGTACATGTTCAACACTGCCAAAAAATGCAGCCCGTAGTAGTTTAATGTATTCTGTGAGCAAAATATCCAGCAGTACCTCTTAACTCATCTAAATGAAGGAGATGGCAGGGCCTATACAAGATTAACATTACACCACAAAATGTACATTTAAAAAAACATCACTAACAATATTAACATGAGATGTACTTTATTTTGATAAAACAGTACAGGTACCGACTACTAAATACACTTGTGATTTAACTTTTTTATAAACAAACCTTCAGTTGAAGCAAGTAATCCAGTCAAATTTATAAATTCTGATAAATTCAATAGTGCTGTTTAAAGTACAGTTCTAACTTCAACAGTACATTATGGCAACATTAAGAGGTAATTAGTAACCAAAGAAAAAAAAATCAGCATGACTCAAATCAGGTTTGATAACAAAGGGGGCATAACCATGCCCTTAGTCCAGTACCGAACTAATGATTATAATTAAAAAATGCAGGATTGATCAATGTGGAGAACAAACAACATATTAAGTAGATTGTGAAAGTGTAGGATAGAATAAGATGAATGAAACAAGCACAAAGATACTTGCAACAAGGACAAATGACTTAACAAGAGACTATCCTAACATATTAAACCTGAAACTAATATTTATCATTTTTCAAATCACAAATCCATAATTGATTTACCAAGTGGATATTCAATTAAAGTACCTTATAAAAGACCATGTGTGGCAACAAGTTATAAAAAATATCCTTCCTAACCACCAAGCTAAAAAAATGTCCCAATACTTATGGTTTAGCATCTAATGTGGTAAACCTTGATTTAAAATAGATCTAACAATAACATTTTCCAGGCTACAACAAATCACAAATTAAAAACACCACATTTTGAGAATAGTAGAGTTCAAAGACAGCAACATATATCCATGTATATGAAATAGGCGGTCAACAAAATATTTACAATTATAAATCATGTCATCAAAATTGCACCTAATAAAATCCATTTTTACACATGTTCATAATTCACAATATTTGAAAAGTCCCCAGCTCACTTGTCCGGTAATTTACGCCTAAAAAGTAGCACATGTGGTTCTGGGAAGAGAAAAAAATGGGATAGTAAAAATCAAATAATGACCATGTAATAAGCACAAGCAAGAAAAGTGTACAGTTAAAAGCTGAAGAAATATGCAAAATTCACAAACTGTAATAATTAAAAATCCAATCACATGCACAAAATAATTTAAACACACCCTCACTTTCTTTTTAACTACCACTTCCGATTATATATGAAAAAGTCATATTGTGAAGCAATTTTTAAAGAATTAAAATACCATATCTGAGACCTTGCAAGTCAAACATATTATTAACTAAATTGTAACGGAACAAAAAAGCATTCCCTAACTGCCAACTTTATTACCAATAAGTAACGAAAATGCATACCTGGATCATGACGCATGTAGTGAACCCAGCCATGGCTTTGTTGCACACCTATACTACGCCATTCATTTTCAGTCATAAGATGTGTTTTAGGAACTAATTTTGCAATTTCTTTGGGGAGCATCACATGTCTGTTGAAAGTAATTGTTACAATAAAAAGCATTTTAACACTACATTTAGATTGCATCATAAAACATGACGTAACATTATGGATGAGGAGAGCAGGGAGAGCCAAGATGCACATACTGTGTAACATTAAATTAAAGTTGGATTGCAAAAACCTTGACTCAGTTCCTGCTCTTTTAAAAATAGATAATAAGAAAAGTTGCCTATTGATTTACATTTACAAAAAGAAAAAGGAGATTTAATATTATTGACAAGGTACATTGCCTCTTTTCTAGTCTATTAGCGCAATAAGCAGTAATATACCACATTTCATTAGTTATATCAGTATTATCAGGTAAGCTTTGCAAAATGGCCTAAACTGATGAGAGAAAAACTGGGCAATCTTTCCAAATAAAGCGCGATTGATCGTCCTGAAACTTCACCGTAGCTTATATTCTTAGATAACAGTAGTAATGGGAATAGTATTTATTTTAGTTCAGAAAAAATGTTAAAACACTAAATGAAAACAAACATGTTCCCACGGAAATAAAGGTTACCAGAAATCATTCAAAAGTTAAAAGAAACCTTTGTAAACAATCTGTTTGAAATTTCGTTCACCTAACCTTTACTTTAAGCACTAAAGTTATAGGTTTTTGAGAAACTTGAAGCAGAAGCAGGGTAAGTAGAAATTCCTGTTAACAGAAATTGTTCAAAAGAAAACTACTAATTTGCCATATTTGTTTAAGAAATTTCATCAACCTTACTGAAACTATAAGCAAGGTATCTAGTTCAAATACCCACAAAGACAGACAGAATTAAAAAACCTGTTTTGTTCCTGCTCTGGAGGGTTGTAAAATGCCAAAATCATTAATTTTTTTGCATGATCATGATTACAATACAAGAAAAAAGTGTCCAATAAAACAAGCAACATATTATTCAGCAGAATCCCAGAGAGCTAAGTCTCCCCCATTACAGATCTTAAGTTCAGATCGCAGTCCAGACTCAGGACGTCCCTGTGACCACCAAGCTCTGATGGGTACTAGATTGTTGTTTTGGGAAAGTAAAGATGGCTGAACATAGGGGCCACACCATCCCTTCAAATGGAAAGGTCAAGAAACATACAAACTGTTACTACTGTTAGGTCTGAGGTGAACTTTATTAGCAGACATGATAATTTTTGGAATATCGCAATTACAAATGTATGACCTGAGACTCTTCTGAAAATAGGTGTAAGGTTGTTGGTAGTGACATAATCACAGGCTTAGTTTTTTTATGGTAAAAAAAGTGATGGTTAGGGTGGGTTGACAATGACATCAGTGAATCATCAACGAGTCCTAATTGTAATTGGTTAACTACCAGTAATTTCTGAGTAATACAACACCTCACTTCTATTATTTGTGGATCATAGGGCACTGTTATACAATACTGTAATGTAATGTAAACTCCTGATGACGATTCTAGTTTTAGATTTTAGATCTAGATCTAGGAGGAGATCTAGAATCTGGATAAGTCTAGAATTGTGTAAGATTCCTATAAACTAGCTAGAATCTAGATTTTAGCTAAGCTTAGAAAATTTTCAAATTAGGCGAGGTTTTTAAAAAGACAGTTCAACTTCATCATGTCATATGCTTCCATTCATATTTCATAATCATTTCTAGATTCTAGATCTACTTACTTTCTAGACTAGAATGTAATCTAGTCTAGATCTTTTATGAAATAGATCTAGACTAGCCAAATTGCTATAACTATTAATCTAGATTTAGTATTAGATTACTGTTATAAAATATAAATTCTACATCTAGAAATACTAATATGAGTAAAATGACATGTTTGGACAAGTCTTTCTTCTACTTTCTGCTTAAGAAACTTTTTAAATTTCTGGTAAGTTCTATTTTTCATCAAAATATTCATACATACCTGTATTCATATTCATCATCTGTATATTTGTCTGAATAATATATTTGTTTTTGCAGTGAAGACATTTCTTCTTTTGTCAGTTTATTTGTTATTTTTTTGCCTCGGCACTCTGCGATATTGCTGTCCAACATGTCACTGTTCATGTAGTTGCCATTAAATTTAGAGCGAGAGTTTGAATATGGTTGTCTAGAGTAGTCTGCCTGCCATCCAAAAACGATTGGCTGGTATTTGTGTCAGACGATTTTCTATTGGTCTATTTTTAATTGCGAACGATAGCCAGATTAATTGGCTGAATTCAAGTAAAAGATACGTAATGCGTGAACCTGCTAGGTACCTCAAGATCTAGATCTATTTTGAATTTTCATTTTATTTTAGAGGGTCACAATTCCAAGAGGGCGCTCAGATTTTAGTGTGGTGATATATATAAATATATATATATATATATATATACACATATATATATATATACATATATATATATATATATATATATATATATATATATATATATATATATATATATATATATATATATATATATATATATATATATATATATATATGATAAAGTGGGAAATCTTGGTTAAGGAAATAAAACGTATAATGCATATTAAAAATGTTAGTTTCAAGCATATTTTTAACACTTATTCAATAGATTTTAAAAAATTCTTTTTAACAAAAAAAAAAAGACTAATGGATCTCATATTGACTGTGATTTGCTTGCTTAACCTTTCAGTATTTAAATAGATCTAATTATTAGAGATGGGGTTTTTTGGCTAAATCCACCTTGCTTGCTATCACCGCATTTCAGTTTTTTCAAGGAAAGGGAAATAACTGAATATTTTTTGGCAAAAATCAATCCATCATTGTTATATCCCCTCGGAGAAGATAAATGATCGGATTTTGTCACCGCGCATGATAGAACTAGAAGGGATAAAGGAATGCGCATAGGAAACTGGTGTTAACTTTTAAAAAGGTTAAGATTATTAAATAGAGGGAATGTCTTATTACGCATGTAAGACATATACTTGCTTAGATTTTAATCAGTACCTACTATAATACATGCAAGGTCCTTTAGCCTTAATTGATGTCTGCGAGTAACTAAAGAAAAACACTATTCACAACAGGTTAGTAGAGTCAAATACATGACATCATGTAAATATTCATTATGTACATTTGCAAAACCTTTCGTTTTCATTTGGTGTTCAAAATTATGTTAAAAAAGTTGATGTTGATGTACTTGTTTTAATTGCAAATAAAAGTATTTAAAAAAAAAAACAAACAACAGGTTAGTAGAGTTAGATCAATATTCAAGTTCAACTTTAAAAAAAAAATTTAGGAATAAAAAAAAACACAAAGTAAACATTTTGTAATAATTATATTTATTTACATGCTACATATCATCATCCCCTAAAATTTAGTCACACAATAATCAAATCATAATAATATGTTGACTTTAAAGGTAAACACATTTGTAAAATAAGGAAGTAATTTAAAAAAAAAACTGTAAATTATGCTGGTATGTTTGAGTTTTAGGAGTAATCTGCCTTTTGTGTGAAATATAGCTCTCAGGATGTTATTTTTAAAAAAAACATAAAATAACCCAAGTGTGGTAATCTCTACTTAACAACAAAGCATATATTCAGAGATCTATCATTGGTGATATGAAAGTACCTCATCTATATTGTAGCTTTACTGTTCATGTTGAAATAAACTGTTTTTTTTTTAAAATACGATTCCCAAGATCTCATTGTTTTTTTTATTAACAGCATAAAAAAAAACTCAGGTTTTTGTCTGAAAAAAAATGGATTTCATGAAGAAAGTCTCAGTTTTTTGTTCCTGTGTTGAAAAGCCAGACCTGCTAAGCTTAACTTTAATCTTACTCAGTTTTAACATGTGAAAGAAATATTTTAATAAACTGCTGGTTGTAGATTTACAATGCTGTTGTTTGAGAAAAGAATTAATATTTAAAACAATTACACATCTAGTACTATGTCTTAGCAAAATTTAAAACATGGTAAAATATATTATCCACAACGCTGGGAGTAAAGAGTCACAGCAGATGGTAATGTTATCAATAAGCAGTTAACTAGTCATAGGATCTACAGTAGTTTGTTTACTTTGCTCATCTAAATCATATATGTGCATTTACTTTGCAAATACAATTTTGAGATTTTAAAAAAAGTTAGCGATGTGTCAGCTTTGATATTTAACACTTGAGATACACACAGCCTCAGTGTATGATATAAGGAAACTCCAGCAGTAAGAAAACAACCTGAATTAAAACATTTTCAAAAGAGTTGTGACCAACTACATAATAAATTATAGTTTTTAATAAAATATTAAACCTATAAATATATTTTTAACTTTTATTGTACATCAAACTTAAAATTATTTTTTCTAATAGTCAAGCATTTTCATAAGGCTAACCAACTACCAACAGGAAAATCATAATAGCAATAACAAATAAGCAAATGGTATGTATCCCTTCAATAATGATTTTATTATTATTAAAACAAAAGTGAAAGAGGGACATGATCTAGACATGTGAAATGTAATATTTACTAGTAAACATTGTTACAACAACAGAAATACATACTTTTTCTACAATCAATGTAGGATGATAAATGACTATGTGTACATGTCATTTAACTAACAAGTGTCTAGCACACCTATCACAGTCAGAAAAAACATGAAATAGAAATCTATGCTATGTGTCACAATACTATCATCCAGCTCTACCACCAGATTTACAAAAATATGCTTAACAGACGATTATCATCTCAATGGCTTGAATTAATAATCCAGTTAATCTTAATTCAATCTATTTTCCAAATTCAGTTAATAGGATCAGAATCCAGTAATGGTCATATTTCGGTGAGTCATATTTTGGTAATTAATTTTAACAAAGATGAGAAATTTTATAGGCAATTCATTTCTGGTGACTCTACTTCAATGTGAGAACTATTGCAATCAAAGCCACACACCATATGTATGTACACATAAACATTAAACAAGCTTTCTACTTAGTACTGTACGAGCCATAGAAACAGTTCAATGCTTGACATTCCTGACAAACAAATGGTATCTTCATTCTGTAAAATAATTTACACTTTTCTGTCATATTTATAAAGAAGAAATTTTGCTTTCAAGTAAAACTATAATGAAGTTACAACTAAATTTATTAATATGAACATGTCAAGGGCTTAATTTTTATAGGAGACAAAATATATTTCATGTACAGGATCAAATTGAATTATAACAATGATTTTTGAAGTAACATAAATAATGAGGTTACACAGGTGAAATATTGAGTTGTCCATTTAGTGAGCAAATCATTAGAAAAAAAAATTGTGCTATATTTAAACAATGACAATAGGAGAGTGGGGGAATCAACCCAAACATTTATTTTTCTGTTTGAAAATACACCAGTTAAATTAACCGATAATCAGTTAAAAAAAAAAATCCTTTAAAACAACCAAATGAACATATAATCAGAAAAATAATATACAAATCATAGGAATAATTGACAAGATATTGAAAGTGTGTTCTTGTATCAACAAAAAATTTTTTTCATCAGTTTAATTTAACAAGTCAATGATTATCTTCTCTTCGAAACAGTAATTATCACACAAACATTACAATATTACTACATTTCTATAGTTCCATTTTTTGAAAGTGAATAGACAATCAAGTCTAGATCATTTTTTAACCAAGATATGATACCAGTAAATGCTGGATGAAATAGAAAGACAACTATAATACTAGTATCGCTGCCATCTACCACAACACTCAACTATACAAAGATAAAAGACATTTGTTCTTGTACTGCTATTAAATTACATCAGTTTTATATGGTGTAAAATAATTACTTTAAAATACAGTAGTTATGTAAATTGCAAATTTTAAAAATTCTAACATTAAAATAACATTTAAGAAATCATTTAGATTTTAAAACAAAAGAAATGAAATCTAAGACTTATGTTACGGATCAAAGTCAATTTTTCTCCTCCCTAACAAATCTACATCACTACATTGCTCTAACAGACTCATGCAAGTAGCTTCCATGCCCATTTATCACCAGGTGTATTCGATTAGACTTAATACACAGCAGTATACTCTCCTATTAATTTATACTTAGTTATGTAGGGTCACCTGACAGAAACAACATAAACAATGTTTTCATTAAGGCAATATATTTTTTACTTCCTATGTATGCACTACAAACAATGCTTCTTAGGTCAGCACACAACTTTGTGTTGAAAATTAGTTGACAAAGCTGTATTACCACTATGTTCTATTTACAGCATGCCCAACTTAAAATAAAAACAACCAAAGGTGTTTTTCCCAACCAAAACAATAAAAACTGCACCCTTCAATAGTTTAAAAGTTACATTGAAAACTAATAAATATGCATGATTCACTCATTGTAGACAGTGGAAAGGAAACTAAAAGGAAACCATTGTGAATGTAAAGAAGGACAAGGCAATAAGTAGGAATCAATACAAAAACTAGACAGCACAGGTGCTTGCATGGTCAGCTGGTATCATCAGAGTGGGTTGATCACCTCGACATAGTTGATGGGGAAGAATCCAGCTTGCCCATTCACAGAGCCCTCATACCAATTTTCATCAACCTGCAGAAGATGATTGTTTGAGAACCACTGCACAGTCAACAAAATTACCAATGCAATGAATACATAGTAAACAACAGAAAGCATTAACATAGAAGTGTATGTTTTTAGCTAGTAACTGTGCAATAGTGATGGTTACATTGTCTTCAATTCCTTACTTTTTAATGTGTGATTTCAAGTAATTTTATTTAACATTATCTATACAATTATACACTTTTTTTTACATAAAAATGCAATGCAGTTGTTATTACGTGCATGGTGTTAAATTTTTTTAAAGGTAAAAACATTAAGTAAAAACTTGTATAACTGGATTTACTATTAAAAAATAAAATACAATTCTAGCAAATAATTTATTAACAGAATACGCATTTATCACAAAAAAGGTTATCAACAAAAAATTCCAAACCTGACTAATAAGATCAATATAGTCTCCCTCTTGGAAGCCCAGTTCACCCTCGTTTTCTGCGATAAAATCATACAATGCCTTTGCCATTGGCTTTTTCTTGGTGTCAGGAACTGAAAAAATTACATTTTATAAGTAGTTTTTTTTTTACACAAATTGTGATTAAGAAATCAGAGATAAGGATTTAAATAATAGTGAACCCATTGTAAGACAGGTAAGTCTATAACAGTAAGTTTGAAAATCCTCAGCTATATTACTTGTCAAAATTTAACAGATTTAAAATGAAAATATAAAAAAGACAGTTAATATCTGTAATAACATTATTAAAGAAATAAAAAGGAACACCCAGCTAAACCTAGTTTAGTAAGGACAGAATTATGACTTGCTTAGCTATACATGGTACATTTTAGATCAAATACACATATGACCACATAGATTATAATTATAAGTGATCAGGTACAACTTTTTTGACAAATATTTCTGGATCAGAAATGGAGGAAATGTTATGGCTGTAATGTAAATGCAACTACAATCAAATCATATTAGGACAGGCAGTTTGCCTAAAATTCAGATGCTGGCATAGATATGCCAAGTTAAAAATGTGTTGCTTAATTTTTGGCACAATAAAGAAATACCCTTTTTAAATGGTGTCCTGATTAAACATTGTCAAATAATTGTTTATCATGCTTAAATACATACTAAAGCATTTACTTAGCATTCAACGGCAGATTCTTTTTAAAAAGCAGTAAAAATGAATAAAATATATTAAAATTAAATCTTTATCTCCCATTTTACAAGATGAAATATTTATAATTTAAAGCTAACCCCATGCAAACATGACAAAAAACTAAACAAAATACTAGCCAGATTATTAAAGCATGATATAAAACAAAAGATTAAAGGAAATGTAGGATATTAGCAGTAAAAAAAGCAAGTGACTACATTTGTGGTGACAGCCTACATTAAGCAAGAAAAAAATGTAATTTAAGTATATGCTTCAATTATTCTTTTATACATTTTTTTTTAAATGTTAGACATGAAAGCAAGTATATTGAATGTTGGTAGCATCTATGAATGATCACAAACAGTGTACAATAAGTTATTCTTATGATTTATTGAATTGAATGAATAGCTGAAGTAAAAGAAAGAAGGATAGCAACCAGAATTTATCTACTTTTTTACTCAAATGATGCAGTGTTTAACTACACATCCATTGCTTGTCTACTAACACATAGGTTAAGCAGTATGCAGTTAAAGGCAAAAATAAAAACAATAAATGCTTATAGAATAATGCACATACAATATAGAATTTTACAGTTTCTTTTATTTTAATTCAAACATTTACTGCTTTAAGTGCATTTCTAAAACAGCAGTAATATTTATATAATTTACATGCTTAAAAGAATTTCCCAAAAGATTTGTATTTAGTAAAAAAAAAGTGGTAAAATAAAATTGACCTAACTTGCCCCCATAATTCTTACCAGCATATGATCCAAAAGGATCCTGATCATCAAACTGATCATAGCCTAAAACAAAATAATGTTCATTGAAAGGACACAAATTAATTCTAAACACAGTCCATTTTTTCATTTTTCTCAGGTTAAGTTTGAACTACTTGCAGGACTATATCAACAGTTCTATAGTATACAGATCCATAAAAGATCTAATAAAAAATAAGTGTTGATTTACACTGTTCATTGGACATAAAAAATTTTTTTGTTAAAAATAGTTTCTAAGGGAAAAAATAATTTACAGGGATTATATTTAAAGAAATTCTCTCTCAATTTCCTGGTATTCTGATATAAATAATTTCACTATAAGCATTTTATTTATATAAAAATTAGTGGCATAAAATGTAGTGCATGTAAAGTCAAAGCTAAATAAATTAATATCAGATAAATAATATACAGGTAAACTATAAAAGCTCAATAAGATAATGTCTGATACATAATTCAAAGCTTCATTTTAAACAGGGCTAATGCGAATCACACACCATGTAAAATCATAGACCTAATTAAATTCTCTGAAGTAATTATGTATTAAAAATATTTGAGCACAAAATATTAACTTAAGATTGGTTTGATTCTTTACCACCGATAATTCACAAACATCATACCATGTATTTTTTGTTGTTGCAAAAATGTTAAGCACAGGTAAGAAAGGTCCAAAAAAACGTTCAGAAATAGAAAAAAAATGTTAATCAATTGATATAGTCAGTCGAGTAACAGATGGTAAAGAACAGTTTGGTCAAAAGGAAATGACAACCAACACTGCAGAGCTGAGAGGAGAGATGAACCAAGGGTCAGACTACAGGTGAGACTAATCTCCATGCTTGAATCACTTGCAGAGTTGTAACAGGTAAAAACAACTGGATTACTGACTTTGTGGCACCGAAGGTGCTTTTCATCTAAAACATTTAGCAATAGCCAATCCTATTAACTCAGCATTGACCAACTGTGATTCAAATAACAAATTTCATTGTCAACTTGGAGCAGCCACAAGCAGTTAACGTGAGAAGAAAAGCATATTGGTTACAAAACTGTATGGAAATAGAAACGGTTTGTATTTTTACTATTGGAATAAAGTGTAGATATATTGGAAAAAATTAAGATTCAGAGCATTAGTGTTTAGCACCCTATCACATCTGTAAATATGGAAAATAAAAATTGTCTTAATTTGCAGGAAAAATAATGAACTGTATTTTGGTTATTTTAAAAATGAACAAAAAAAAGTAAACTACTCTTCAAAGGTGATAAATGTATTTTGTATACATTAATAAAAACTAGAAGTTCAAAGACAAAAGCATTTTTTATTCATCTGTTCTAAGGGATCACACCAGATGCTTGTTACCATGGCATCAAATGTGCACACATTAATGCACTCCTTGTTTACCAGTATTTTAGTCCTATTTTATATGGTGTGCTGCCTTGATAAAAAGCAAAAACCCAAAACACAGGCTATTGATGAAATTGTAAATAATTTACAACCAAAACAAGGCCTACCAGACTGGTGGTAAGATGGTGCTTGAATGTTGTTAAAATTATAGCTGCCAGACTTCCCTGTTTCCATACCATCGCTGGGACCATCATATGAATTGGGAGATTCACTACGCCTAAAGGAACTGACACGCTTAGGTATGTGCTCAGATTTTGGTCTATTTGCAGCCTCATTTCGCCTGGTAGATGAAAAATAAATACCCTCATTTATTTCCACTAATTAACAAACTTTTAGTTTTTCAATAGTAAAATATTTCTGTATGTTTTTTTTCTTCACAGAAACCAAAATTGTACATATATTTTATAGAAGTTTCAAAAACTAAAAGCTAGAGGATTTAACCCAATAGTGTATAACGATACTACTACGGAAATCAAAAGCATAAACCAATCTATTCCTATGACGTCAAAGAATAACAAAAAGACATCCAGAGATAGCAACTCACTTCTGCTCCAGTGTGTCAAGCAGTGATTGCAGTGTGTTTAGGGCCTGTCTGTGATAATCAACTTCAGCTTCAATGAAAGCTTGTAACTGGCTTATATATTCTACCTGTTGGGATACATTTAAAACAAAACTTTACTTTGCATGGGAAATAATTTTATCTTATTCGGAATATATATTTTTGTTGCAGGCTGAATTTTATGAAGATTAGTAGAATTATAAATGTAATGTAAATACATATTTGTGTCTAATAGAAACACATTGAAATGTTTAAAATGTTGCTTTGTGATAATACTTTCCAGAATAGAAGTATAAACTATCCTAATATATAATTCCCCATGTGCGCACTTCTCTCTCTCTCTCTCTCTCTGTCTGCAAAATATTTTCGCCGGACATCACGTCAGAAACGGCAGCGATATATGGAGAACTTTATACGGACTTTTGTTGAAAATAATATGTTAGATGTTTTAAATGTATAACCACAATTTTATTTAAAGAAGAAAAATAAAAATTAAAGGCGTATTCGAATGTAGAGAAACAGTATTATTTATGCAACCGGAAAAGCATTAATAGATGTGAAAAAGAACGCATAAAACTGTGACGTCACTATTGCTTATACATTAACTAATGATGTCATCTGCCGTGTTTGGAATAAAAAGAAATGAACTATTTCATTCAAATTTGATTTAGATCTACGTACACTATGAAATGTAGGCATATACAATACAATTTTTCCGGCCTAAACTCATAAAATTTATTTTATTTATTTGGATTCTAGATCTAGATATTCTAGATTCATCTATTCAAATAATACATTTCTATACTAAAGTATTTCAGGCCTTAATTACTTTATTGAAATCTTTGTTTATCTATGCAATTTGCTAATCTCTATAATATATAAAGCAAAGTTGTCGGGTGCCCGATAGGGCACTTCCCGGCGCCGCAGGCGCTTCAAATTTGGCAGGATCTTGCCTTGGGGCAACTGAACACGGGGGCCGGTTGGCCGAAAAGTCTACAATGATGGGGTCAAAACTGACCTCTACTGACCGGCGCCTTATATGAGCTATAAATCGAAAAAAAATGTCCACGGAGGAACCTCTTCATAACTCCTGAGGTCGTAGACCGACCCTCGGGAGAATTAATTAAGCATTCAAATTCTCAATGTTTTCGAAAGCCTAAGCAAAGCTGGGCAGCATGCCTAGTGGCTTTAATAAAAGTCCTACTAAATGTCCCATACCTCATTTTCTAAGACATTATGCATTGCATTCTCTGCTAAATTTTTTGATTCTTCAAACTTGTCTTCAGCAACTCTCAGTTCCTCCTCTGTCACATTGGAACCTGAAAGAGTTCAAACTCATTTCAAAACTAAGTATTTTGATTACTTGTAAAATAACAGACAATTTGTCTTCATGAATCATAATGAACTATTATTTTTATGTACTTAGTAAAAAGACAATGATTTGTATCATAAAGTAAATAATGAAATTTATCTTTATGTTTTATAATAACAAATTTATGGAACTGTAACTTTTCTAAATAAAACACTGAACTTATAACAAATGCAACAAAACTGTATAAATGAAATGAAATAACTAAATAATAGAACTATACAACAGAGATGCTGAATGGTTGCATTGAGGGCCATGCTGTTTTATTACAGAGGCTACATACAGGTGGTCATTAGATCCCTTTTACAGACACAAATTCAATTCATTACTTACTTTAAGTTACCAACTCATCAACAATTTCAATGAATTCATTTTACCAAAATTTAAACCTGATTTCATTCTAAGAGATAATTTCTAACAAGCATCTCATTTTAAAAAACATATAATTTAAAATTGAACAGTAGAATAAATGCATTCTTGAATAGCAAGAGAAAATGTAGAAAATTAAAACCCTTGAACCTCATAAAAAGTAAACATAAATATAAAATTCTCCAGTTAAATACAATAAGCTAATGAATGACCAGTGTATAGCCTATATATTATGAATTTATAAGTAAATAACATGCATAGATGGTGTGTGGCCTTCATTAGCAACAATCAACATCAACTACATTTCTTGTTTAACAAGGCACCATGCAGAAATAAACTTGACAAAAGCAACAACAACAAAAAAAAAACCCAGTGAGGTACACAACGTGTGTACAATTACCAGAGCTACCAGATCACACATTAATGTCATATGCATGGGTCTGTGAGGGTGTTTGATGTGCTAAATCATAACAGCACTAGCACACACACTATCTTACATGAAACCACACCCCATAGTATTGTAAAAGAGTTTAGTATAAGAATTTGTTTATGTATATCTATATATTAATGTGTGTATAGGATATATATATAAATGTGTGTATAGGATATATATATAATATATATATAAAATTTATGATAAAAGCTAGGCCTTTCATCAAATTTTTCCATCTGTCCACAACATAAAACTAACTGTAAAATGTAACATGAGAGTTAGATAGAAAAGTTATTTTAGCACACAGGCCTACATTTAAAAAGCTCTTGGGTTAAAACATTCAATGCAATTTAGTGTTGCTCCTAAGGCAGTGATTCCCTATGGAACGTCTGCTGACTAAAAATTTCAAAAGGAACAAACAGTACAGCATTACTGCACCATGCATGGGTGTTCCTTGTTTAAGGTCTTACAGCATTCATCTAAGTTTAAAGGTATGATGTTGATTAAAAATCAATGTACAGGAAGTTAAATCAGCGTATAGATAAAGTCAGTCTAATCCCTTATCATTGACTGAGTTATAAGACTTCTCTAAAGCAGACATTTACCTGGCTTCCAAAACATGATTATATAATTTGACTGTTTTTAGAGGCAAGAAAAGAACAGGTGTGTTGGCAGATTGAACGTAAACCTATCTCTTTAATTACTTCCTCATTATCTTTCTCACACAGTTGTTAGATAACTACGATATGATCAAGGTAGCTCAAGTGAAACAAGAGGCAGCAAATATCAATTTGTCAGGTAGACAGGTGAGATAACTGAGAACCACTGATCTCAGGGTGCAAGCAACTAGTAATTAAAAGAAGCTTTTCTTTGTTTACATTACATACATTAAATATAATGAGTAAAACTGCTAGTGCATTTAGATGAGTTTTAAAAATATTTATACCAATAATAGTGTACTTTTAGTTTAAAGCGTTATTGTGTTGGTTTCCAAATTACAGCTTGAAATATATTTGCAAAAATACTTCCAATATAAATCTTTTAAAACGAAAGATGTGAGTTAATCTACAACAGCTGAAATAAGAAAATATTTTGGATTTATAAATCTGTTTATATAAAGAAGTGTGAGACAATTTAAACCAGCCAACAGAAGAGGGAAAAAAAATGTTTTTGTAAATTAATATAGACTGGCAATACATATATATATTTTGCATGCTCTAGCCAAATCTGATTACAAGAAGCAACTGATTTCTTGATTAGCACCATTCACTCATGCATGACCATCTATTTGATTACACAACAATAAGACATTGTCTCAAACAGCCCAATACAATGAAAAAGGCAAAAATAAAAACAAAAGGCCACAGGCTTTATACTACCTCCAGCAGCTAGATACACACACAGAAAAAAGGACATTAATCATAAGAAAAATACAACCCATAATAAGGTTAGGAGAAATAAACATTGATGAAAATAAAATAAAAACAACATAGGTCAAGTAAACCACACATGTGATTGTACTGTGTGGAGACGTATGCAATGGTTGTCAACAAATATACTTACATTAAATTTTCATACAATATCGTGTGCATAATATAAATTAGTTAGCATGGGTTTCACCAAAACAATACACACAAATTGAATGGAATAGATAGAATGAGATTTTCAGACATGAGTACCACGAGTTTAAAAAGATATCCCTCACAGTAGTTAAACATTATAATCTTACCAGTGACAAGTGAAACAAAATAAATATGAAATGTAAATTTGCAATTAAAACTTTCATTAAATAGTATGATAATGGGCCATTTTTACCCAGGACAAAAATAAGCAACGAAGGAAAAACAGGACTTTTTTTATTACGTACGTGAATTCTGAAAGGAGGTACCTTCTTCTGGCCCATTAGGTTTTCCTTTAGAATGCGTATATGAGCATCAAAGCATGTCTTATAAACTTAGTCAAAGATGATAATAACAATGAATTTGTTTGATGGAATGCACCCATTTACCAATATTCTATCCTTGTATTCAGCTATGAATGTGCTTTTATTAGTTTCTACTATTATTAAGAAAGAAAGGTCAGTGCAGTACACTACGCTACAGATGTTGTGTTTTTAAAATGATAATACCACACTTAAAATGTTTGAGAAACCAGGGCTTTCAATTCACTGCAACAAGTGACGGGTAGCTTTCATTTCCTAAAACATGCAAGTCAGCTCATACTTCAACTAAGTTAACTCTCAACATGAGGTTTTTCATGGGGCTAAATATATCTATTATGTTTGCTCTAAAGTTAAGTGTAGCATCATTAGTTGGTTAGTATGTTTGTATGTATGTGATGAATGATAAGCTTATCTAAATGTGTCAACTTTACCCTATGGAGTCTTATGCCAAAATACTTAACACAACTAAAGCTTTCAGTTATTTAAGATATACAGATATCATACTTATCATAAATTAGCAGTGCCTAGCATAAAATCTATATAAAAAACATAATAAAGCTGCAAGCAAAGTTAAGCATGTGACAACTTCAGTACATCTTTGTGCCATAAGACTCCATATCTGGCAAACTTTTTCTTTAAATCACCTACGTGAGAAGAATAATTATAGTAAGCAAAATAAAGCAGAACAGGTTCTTACCTCCTAGGTTGGGTGGAACAGGACATGAAAATAAAAGCAATGAGTAATAAGTGATGAAAAAATACACACAAGGAAAGTGTGCTAACAGATTTGTTAATAAACATAACCAGTTATAGTTAAACCATAATGTGGGTTAATATTATTTGTATTAACATGGTTAATGTCACAACATTATTTGAAACATTTTATAATTTAGGTGACTATTTTATACATATCTTAAATTGAAACAAGTAATTTTTTTTATAGATATAGCTTAACAGTTAAAATTTTAAGTATAAATATTAAAAAAAAAATGAAATGCCTCAAAGACTAAATTGACATATGTTTACTTAAAATTACTGATTTATAAATATGTGAGGAGAATGGAAATGTTCTACATATAGAAAATATTTTGTTCAGAATAGCTGAACTGTCATGGCAATATAATTGTGCTTTGTCATTCATGTAAAATGGATTGAGTTATATATTTCAGGAGATGGGAGTAATATAGGCAGTACCATAATTAGGAAATCAGTAAAAACATCATCAAACCACATCTAAAATAGGGTTAATGACAAAAAAAATTAAACTGCTTTTACAATACTTAAGTTACGTTAAAATACTGAAGTAATGCTCACTTTATTACTACATTTCAATAAACAAGATTGAACTTGATAAAGCAGCCATGCATTGTATAATGCAGAGGTACTACTTTCCCCCTAGCATAGTAAAGGGACATAAATGCAGTATATAATTTAAAACCATTAAGAAAGTTAAAAAAAAAAATCTAAGACATTAAATCTAGATTATTGGACAATGTAAACTCAATAAATAATCACACATTCTACACACATTCACACAGAAATAAACATACACAGTGAAAAAAATTTAAAGTTAGCTAAAAAAAAAAAACAAGCAAATATAACAAAAGCCTAGAGGCAGTAGGTTTGCTATACGTAAGAATTTCACTTACCTTTTTCTTTTTTTCTCCTTTTACAGTCAAAGTCTAGTCTTCTGCCAGACAACTTTTTGCGATGGTGCTAATGGTAGAAAAAAATTTATTCAAGCCAAAGTACCATTTTGCCTTAAAATACTAATTCATTTTTTTCTGAATAAAATGTACTTATTAGAACAAATAGCTTACAAACACATTAGACTAGTCCTAATTTATGAAAGGTTTTGGATGCAGGTTTTGTGGCAGAAATTGCAATATTAAACAGAGTGATCCCAACATCGTAACACAACAAAGTTACTGTGAAGATAGAAAAGTCTGGCCAGATACGAGCCCAATGCTACACACAGCACTGATTCACCTCACCAGCAAGCACTGATATGAAAACCAACTGGCCTGTTAACTTTACTAAAAACTGAAATGTTTCTAGTAACTGTGCAGCCAATATTGAACCCAATATATATCAACTATAGGCAGGTTGTCTTCTTACCCCAAAAGGTTATTTACTGATCTCTTCAACAACAACCTAGGTTGTAAGGGCTAAGAACTCTGTTTCATTTTTTTTTTTAAAAAAGCTACTCACATTAACTTCTTTCAGATCTTTGTTTTGAAGTTGATTCAAAGGTTCAAGAAAATTTTGTTTGACATTGTCCTCTAGGTTGTACTTGATCTCTGCCAAATGCTTGAATGATTCACCGGCTTCAATCAGACAACCCCCTGTAGGTTCATCATGTCATTTGACAACATTAATTCACATCCATGTGGCACATCTCTTATACATGCAGTTTACTACAATTATCAAAGCCTCTAAACACTTTTAGAAATAACACATCCTTTTTTGATGGTCCTGATGGGGACAGCGTGGCCTCAGGGTAGAGAGTTAGACTGCTAATACAAAAGTCACAAGTTCAAATCCCAGTTCAAGACATAAGAATGTCCCTAAATCTACCCAGCTCTGATGGGTACCTAACTCACGTTAGGGAAAATAAAGGCGGCTGGGCAAAGTGCTGACCACACCATCCCTTCATATACTGAGGTCACTGAAACAGATTAACTATACCTCATCTGTCCCATGTGTCTTAGGCACAAATGGGAAAACATAATTATAAGGCCCTGATATCCACAAACTGTTTAGTTAACAGTAATCTTTTTAGACTAGTTAATGTAACATTGTAGTTGTAACATTCAGCAATGTTTAGTGATATTGTCAAAGAAAACATGTGAACCAACAAACCAAACATAGAGTCATCCCCCAGATCTGTTCCATGTCTGATCATGTAGTCACCAAGTGTACCCTCTGGTTGGGGGTACAGGATCTTATTTTCTTGTCCCCGTAACTTTGAGATTGCATTCCTCGTGGACATCTTTGCCCTTGATGCTGATGTACCAACAGATTTAACATTATTAAAAAGATGTAAAACCGAACAATGAAGTTAAGAGCTAATTCTTATCTAAATGTATGCACTGCTTAAGACTTATTGTAAATTACCTGTACCTGGATTTGGTTGAAGAAATTCATGTGTTTTGTTGATAAGATCATCCACCAATTTCCCTAACACATCAATACGCTGGAATAAAAATCATTCAGAGATGTTCTACACTACTGAACAAAAAATAAAAATAAATAAAAAAGCAAAATCATAAAATTAAGGAAACTTATTTATTGAATTTATTAACAGCAGGATTCCTACACCATCAGGGGTAAAAAAAAAGGCAATGGGGAAAAAGGGGGACTGGCTTAGAATATAAAATAGGGTACCACAAACCAAATCTGTTAGACAAGCAGTAGGTCCCCACAGAGGTATATCAAACAGACACAAACAACATTAGCACCCATGAGCAACATGATTGTTTTTAGAAGGCTCAAAGTTAGTCTGTTAGTAGTTACAAGCTTAAAAGAAAGGCACCAAGTAATATGTCTAACGAACACACAAGTACATGCTGTTACTAATTTAAACTGTGCAACACATACAGACAAAATACAAGGCACTTCAACCCATGTTTTTCTTTATTTCTCTTTATACGTTGCTAACTTTACATTACTTGAGACCCGGTCCCTTTCAAAGTTTTCAACACATCAAGTCTACACACGCCCCCCCCCCCCTGTAAGTGCGTAGACGAGGCTATACTGTGTGTAAGAAACACTAATGACAAATGCAAGTATATAAACAGCTACAGCATTCATGTAGAAGAAGGCGGTACCCCAGTTTTTTGTTTTGTTATCCAGCTATTATTTTCTTCCCCGACTGTTTACGGCAAATACAACACAAACATCACTGTGTCAAGCTGTGTATAAAAATGTGGGCGAGAGAAGGGGAGAGAATGCATGTTTGATCATAACATACAAGCGTGCGCGTCTCCCGACTAACGATTTATGACAATCGATGTTTTACCATCCCTAAGCTTCTCGCCTTAAAAAATGTAACAGGCCTAATCAACGGCCTCGCAACTTGATCCAAAAAAAGAAGGGAAAGTTGTTTTTAAAAGTTTGTAAATAGAATATTGTAAGCCATAGAGGAAGTATAATTGTCTTTTTTAGACATCCCATTGTAAGTCCAACAATACTTTACATTACATTACAACAACTTCTCATGACAGCTAATTATCGTGAGGCTTTAAAAAAGTCATTTAGTCAAACATGCCCGTCAAACAATAGAGGGATTACTACACCGGGCATTGATCAGCCGCTTCATTTGAAACGCGAAGCCCCTCCCATCTCACTAAACCACAAGACTAATGCAACAGGTGGTTTTTGTTTACCAGTTATATGCATGCCCCATGCAAGGTCATGAAACTGACAGAACTTACAGGGTCAGTACACTAATATCACACCTACAAACTCAACAGCGCGACCCTACTACTATCGCAAGAAATACCCAGACATAACTGGGCTTTAAAACAGCCAAGTGGCTGCGAGACGATACATTTTTATATTAATCAGGTGACCGGCCGGTTGTATTTACACACAACAAATGCGGCGAGGGACGGGCGAGGGGAAAAAAATAGTGTGTGCCCGTGTGTGGACGCGCGCGTTACTAAAAATATATCACACTGACACATGACACGGCGGCCTCATACAACACTCCGTCATCACGGCCGAGATTAATCTATTTAACATGTGGGTTTGTTGTTGATAATTACATAGAGGGCCCGGCTATAATTAGACCGATGTCACGGTTTTTTTTTCTTCGACACAGACGAATCCCAGTACAATAGGAGCACGACGAAGTGTGTTGAGTGTCCGTGTCTTATCTCTCATATATATATCAGTACATATCAGTACGATGTCGAAACCGCTACCACAGGGCAATCAATGACTAACGTCCGTAATAAATGAATAATTCCGAACCGTTCCCAAACCCTCTTTAGGTGATCCCCACCCCACCCCTTTTCCGCAATAAGGACTCCAACAAGAAAATATAGGTCCCTCATAATTCTATGAAAAATCGCAGTATACTCATTAAATAGCAGGTAATGAGTATGCATACTTTGCTTTGTTAATAATACATATGGGCCACAGTGATTTATTTTCATTTTTATTTATGAAGTAAGCCTATAACAAAAATTATTAGAGAAAATATAAAGGAAAGACATTTTGGATGAGGGTAGCTCCATCACAATTTTTTTTTCTCTTAATCAAACGAAACTGATAGAGTTTTAAACAAGTCTTTTTTTATTAGGAGTAAAAGTTAAAAAGTAAACAGCTGTAAATCAAGTAATAAAGCATAAATGACATCCACTTTTTACAACTCCCCCACCTAATAAAACAAGACAATGCAACACAAGATTACATCCTCTACATCCCAATGCTAGAGACACAAGCATGTTAATATATAATTAATATTACATTGAACCATACTTTCTGTATGGAGATGCTTTTAGTTTTAGTCACATTACATCCTAAGTAAATGATTTGATTAGGATGGGAGGGGAAAAGTTTGAAGATAGTCCCATAACTAACAGCAAAAACTACAAAAACTAACCCTTAATGACCACTGTTTCTAAACAAATCTTGCATAAGCCAAAGACATGTAAGAAAATACAAACTAGAATACCCCCCCTCCCCCTAGCTGCTCACCAGTAGACAATTATCACATTTGGGTCAAGTTAAGTGCTCATTAGTGTTAATTACCGCTAATTAAAGACTGCTCAAGCAAAATAGCAGAATGCATGCTCACACTTTGCAAGGGAAACAAACAATAGAGGCAATCAAGAAATGGGATCACAACTTGTGTGTCAAAACAAGGACCCAGGCCTACATGCTACATCAGTACTTTAATAAGCAAACATAACTAGTACACTCAGACCTATCTTAAAACAGTCAATATTATTTATATTCAGATGAGAAAGGAAAGGCATGAAACATATATGAATTACCTTGAGGGAATCAATATTTAAATGTACATGTCAAAGGTTAATATTAATTTAAAAAACTGAAGACATTAAAATTTAAATAGCACTGTTTATAACTGTTTACATTACACACTGTTTCCAACAGAGGAATATAGGACAAAATGATTTTTAAAAAAAAAAAATTTAATTTTTTTTTTTAAATCTACTATCATTATACTGACTTTAATCTTAAGCCCAGATTACAAATATAATAATTCTTTACCCTATTCCACATAGGTCACTTAAGTAGTAATTTCAGCTTAGAGGGATGGTTTGCTATATATGATACAAAAATAGGCTAAAGGGAAACTGTAATTTTTGCTGTAGTAAAATCCATGGCTTTTCAGTAATACATCAATGTAATGTGTTTTTAAGGACTCTACTTCATCTAATTACCCAGACACTTTGGCAATATTTTAACACAGCTTCTAATAACATTCTGATTAGGCTGCCAGATTTAGATATTTTGTTTAAAAAATACTACTCAACATAACTGTATGCAAATGAACTTAACAACCAAGACTGTGACTACATTAAATTAATAAATACAACTTAATGAGTTTATAATGCTTTATACCATAACTTGGAAACTTATTAAACTTTACCCTTTCCATTTCAACGAACTCATCATCAAGCTCTGTACCCTTGGCCCCTCCAATCTTTTCACTCATGTACTATAAAAGAAAGAAAAAAAAACAAAGTCATATTTCAAATGTTTGACGTCAAATCTAGAGACAATTGCATTATTTGCATAAAAGTATCAAAACCGGCAATGCAAATTTAACATATTAAAACAAATCCACATTCAACACAGTTGATAACAAATAAACAAGAAATTGTTCTTTATAAGAGCAGCAACAGAGCAATAACCATTTCTGAGTTTTCTCTGTTATAACTTTAATAAGGATAGCAAAACAAGCAAAAAGCAACTTAGATACATTTTACTTTTTATTGTTAGAAAATTAACAAATGGACAATAATAGACATAAATAATGGAGTGAACTACATATATTTAACAACCTTGGTGCGTCTTGTCAAAAATAATATTGTTTATAGTATTAGTAATAAGGCTATTTTAGAAGTTCACTTGAAGATTATTCCTATTGTAAGAGGCAATGATTAACAATAAAACAGCAAAACACAACAAAAATGTAACTTGTCGTCAAACCAATAGAATAGAATGCTGCTTATACATGTGTAGCCTACATTCATTTGATGCACCACTGAGAACTATATTCAAACCCTATAATGTATGGAAAAAGATAACATTCAAAAGCTGAACAAAACAGGCCCATCTCAAAATTTTTGCCTGTAAAAATTATTTTTATTTAAAAAATATTTATGAAAAAAAAAGATCATCTCTTAGTCAGGGACCATTTTCTTTCACAATACATATTAACACAAAAGAAATGTCTAAGGCATAGTGAAAAATGGTTGTGGGTCCATACATATTAACTTGATTGTACAGAGAGCACTTTTGAGTTTTTGCTAGTATCACTAAGTATCCCATGCTTAATCCTGACCTCAAAAGATTAGGGATCATAACTATGAAATAAAACAGTCTTGCCCTCCCAGCTTTTTATAACAAGCAGTAAAAATGTATTTTTCTGCCAATCAAGGCAAATCTTATTACTTGTTCATTACATTAAGCCATTAAGCTGAGTTCAGCATAGTAGGACAAAAATTACACAATTAATGATCGGACACCTCCTTCGTAGCTTTTGTATAGCAATACTAAATTATATCTTTTAAAATTACATCTTTGTCAGTAAATATACTAGTATGAGTATGAGTAGCGGTAACTTAAATAGCCTTATGAGTGGCATAGACATAAACGTTTCATTTGAATTTTGGTATATGCTTGTATCTTTGTACTTTTTTTTTCTTCTTCCTTGTTAATTGTAATATTGATACGGGATTTCCTAAAACCCAATTTAGTTAAGTATAATGTGTCAACATGTTGTGTGCCTGCCAAATGGCCTGTAGACTCAGATTTCAATCTGCTTTCCTATATGGATTTGCTTCCTACATCCTAGGACAAACCAAAAAACAAGGAGTTTTCACTCCTAGATTGGTTGTTGTCCACAGGTATCGCCCTGGTGTTTGCAATCTGCATTTATAATTTACTATACAGGTTTAGTAACTATGAGGTTTCTCAGCCCAACCATGTAGACCCAAAAAATTTATTTTCAAAATGTAAACAAGCAGGCCTACTAAATTCTAAGTAGATCTAGATTCTATCTAAATCACTTAAATCAGTGAAAATAAATATATAAATAAATCCTAAATCTAGACAAGTTTTCTAGAATTAGCATCTACTAGACTATCTGTTATTATTCTTGGATAATTGTGGGTTGGGGGGGTTCATCCATAAATGACGTCACTTTTGTTTAACGATTTTTATCTTTCCCCTCCCCTTCCCACCTTAACACACAATCACAAAATGCCGGACTCCACATCTAAAAAGACATCACACATCAGCCAACAAGTTTTTGTCTTTTAAAAATACCAACTTTGGCTGATCATAGGTCTGACCACACTATCCCTTCATACGAGTTCACATAAACAGGGGAACTCTGCTTCACCTGTCCCAAAAGGCAATTTTATTGTTCACATCTAAAGAAAAGTCACACCTCAGCTACAGACAAAAGAAAATGTAGGCCTATAGCTTTATAATGCGTTTAACTTTTGAATGGAACTTTTATGGAAGCCATGTTTGTTATAAAAATAAGTAAATAAAGTATTCGGTAAGGAACTCTGCTTGCAGGCCACTTTTAATATTAGACAAATAAATAAGGCGGTATGTTATTGTTATCTTTATTATTACCAAGTATCGATGACGTCATTATTATTGTGTATTGTTTTCTGCATTAGATTTTAAACTCTATATTTTTACTCTAAAATCAACGACATCGTTTTTTTATTGTGTATATTTTTTCCAACATTAAAATTAAAACTTTGTGTTATTTCATTTTGATAAATTCCTATTAGTTTTAAGTGACGTCACTATGTAAATAAAGTATTTGTTCTGAACTTTTTACAAGTGAATACATCAATAAATTAATTATTGTCTTTAAATAAATTTGTGTATAACATTTGGGGAAAAAAGAACATTTTCTCTACATAAATGTTATTTACAGTTCTACACATAGTGCATATGCTCACATCTAGCGGAACAGACAAACAAACAAACAAAAAAATACAAACTTTTCACTCTTAGCAGTAGGCCTATATAGATAAATGAGAGCCGATCTTATAACTTATAAAGAAAGTGCTGACAATATTTGATTTCTTTTTTCATAGACAGATAATAACGCTTAATCTAATACCTCATTTATGTACCTACTCCTTTTATATTTTAAAAGTTCTATTGATTTTAATGAAAATCCTTTTAAATCTAGCTTTTATTCTCCAAACCAAATTATAAAATGCTTTTCTGGCATATATTCTGCTGCCCATAGTATTTTATTATAATGCAAAAACCCGCTATTCTGCTAGTGGTAAACATTTTTAAAAGTAATTCTAAGAAGGTCACTGAAACTAAGATGACAAAATGTCTGAAGTCATGCGTCCAGTGTGGACAAGATGTTGTTAGCAAATGGTCCCAGGTTAGCGGGCAATACTACATTATAAGCCTAGGCCTATTAATATAGGACTAATAGTTACATTAATTTATACATCATTCCCCAGTCACAGATGTTGTTCTTATTGTTAAGTCCATATTATGCATGAAATTATGCTATACTGCTATAACCTGTAAGGCTATGCTAACCCAATACATAGATCTAGTATTTATTTATTAGTAGGGCCCTAATAGAATCTATAGGGGCCTAAAAAAACAATAACATTAACTTATCTCGACAGCTCTACAAAATTAGTTTAATACTTTCTTCTCGCACAAAACTGACTGATTTAGATCTACCAGGTAACCTGAGTTTAGTTTGGTTCACAGCCAGTAACTAACGAGATTAGGGAGGCACAACGTTCTCCTCTCGACCATGACGTCATTTCAATAAACCAATATTTGATGATTTTGTATAGGCCAATATGTAGCTAAATATAGGCATCGGGTATTTAAAAATAATCTAACACTAGCAAATCCACAAAACTCATTACGGATGATTATAGATACCGGTGTCCGATAATGGAATCTTCTTTAAAAAAGGGGTGTTAGGTTGTTAGTAGTAGTATTGCAATCTTGACTAATTTATGGTTAGAAATTAGGGTTAGGCGTATGGGTGGACCAGGGTTGAGGTTAGGGTTAGGGACAGGGTTAGCATTGACATTAGCCAGCCATGTGTGTATTTACTATTTAGTTAACTACCAGTAACCTAACACCCCTTTTTTAAAGAAGATTCCATTATCGGACACTGGTGTAAACATTCTCCCCTAATTACAATAAAACAACAAAATAATAAATAAAAGCAAATCCACAAGAAAAATCAAATAAACATTTTAAAAGGTATAGCCTTACCGCAAGTTACCGCATTTACCGGTATATATAGGACTTATTTTAATCAATTTTTAATGCAGGCTATATGAGTGTGTGAGTTTCTTCCGAGGAACCCCCCCCCCCCAAGAGAGTCTACCCCCCTCCCAAACAAAATGGGATTTATATAGATCTAGAAAATACTTTTACAAAATTTACAGTGCCCCCCCCCCCCCCCCACTTCCAATTAATTAGGCCTAATTTATATAAAAATAGGGGCCTAGGACTATCTAGATTCTAGATCTAAGCCTGATTCTAGACTAGATCTAGAATCTGTCTGTAGAACTCTAAATCTAGAATAGATCTAGATTCTGAATCTAGATCTCTTGATCATCTCTAGAGATCGGGGGGGGGGGGGGGGGATTTCGCTCGGGTGGTCTAAATTCTAAAATTTTCTAAATCTATTTTTTGGAACAGACGTCTTATGCCCTACCTGATTAGCTTTATTGAATTGTTTTTTTAATCCAGCAAAAGACATTTTCTTTGTTTTTTATTACTACCACGCTAAGGAATTAAAATCATTTGAGAACAGATGTCTACACGGCCACTATTCACAACTAGCCTATATTTAACTTGCTAGTAACACAGCTACTCCTAAATAACGTGACGTCACGTTGAATACGAGTCCCGCAGTAAAAGATATGCTGCGTAAAATATTTTATTTACGTGTGTCGTTTGATTGCGCTTTTTGTGTAGGCTTTTTATTTATTTGACGAATAGGCCTACATTTCCACAAAAAAATTATTGTTAGTCATATATAGATCTACTGCATAAGAACAATATATATTTAGTTCCATCAAATTCTTCATTGTGCTCTTATATACTTATACAGCCAGTAGGTTGCAAAGATATTAGATTACGAGAAAAATGGCCCGTTGAGGAAGGATACACCGGGCGCTAGGTTGATAGAGCTGTCTCTTTTCTCTAAACTAAAACCAACCCACCCCCCACACACACCACCCCCCACCCCACCCCTCCCACCCCCTCCCACCCCCACCCACCCCACACAACACCCCCCCCCCCCACCCCCACCCAACCCCACCCCACCCCCACTCACCCACCCCCACCCCCACCCCCCAAAAAAACATGTCTACCGTCCCATTCAACGAATTATAATTATATACTTTTTCCAGTGTCCGCCCCCTCCCCGAAAATTCTACCCCCGCCCCCGAAAATTTCAAGTACCCCCACCCCTCTCCGGGGAGGAAAAAGTCTGAAAGAAACACTGGTGTCGCGCTTAGCCACTACGCGAAGAATTGCATTAAAGAAATTGCGAGAAAACCACTTTTTAGATTAGACACATTAATTAGGCGGTAATTTTATTATAGAGTATCGATGAGGAAACCACCCCACCCCACCCCCACACACACCACCCCCACCCCCAACCCCCACCCCCCACCCCCCACCCCCCCACTCCCAAAAAAATCATGTCTACCGTCCCATTCAACGAAATATAATTATATACTTTTTCCAGTGTCCGCCCCCCTTCCCGAAAATTCTACCCCCGCCCCCGAAAATTTCAATTACCCCCACCCCTCTCCGGGGAGGAAAAAGTCTGAAAGAAACACTGGTGTCGCGCTTAGCCACTACCCGAAGAATTGCATTAAAGAAATTGCAAGAAAACCACTTTTTAGATTAGACACATTAATTAGGCGGTAATTTTATTATAGAGTATCGATGAAGAAATTTCTTTTGAGTTGGGGAGGGGGGGGGGGCTCAGACGTTCTTACGCGTGGGGTGGGGCTTCGCCCCTACCCGAAGAATTGTATGCAAGAAACTCTTCACGCAAACCATTTAGATTAGACAACATTTCCTTTTTATTCAATGTTTACGCGATAATCAATGACGTCATTATATTAATGTGTGCACTTTCCGCCTTGAGATTATTTTCAACTCTATGCTAAATGTGTCGACGTCATACTTCGTTTTTCGAATTACTATGCAGGTTTTTAATTTGCTTGTGTTTTCTCTAGAGCGTTCTTGTCAGACAGATAGATACATAGATAGATACATAGAGAGACAGCGAAACTATTATTATAGACGAGAAAAATGGCCCGTTGAGGAAGGATACACCGGGCGCTAGGTTGATAGTGCTGTCTCTTTTCTCTAAACTAAAACCAACCCACCCCCCCACACACACCACCCCCAACCCCCACCCCTCCTACCCCCACCCACCCCACACACCACCACCCCCCCACCCCCACCCCCACCCCCCAAAAAAACATGTCTACCGTCCCATTCAACGAAATATAATTATATACTTTTTCCAGTGTCCGCCCCCTCCCCGAAAATTCTACCCCCGCCCCCCGAAAATTTCAAGTACCCCCACCCCTCTCCGGGGAGGAAAAAGTCTGAAAGAAACACTGGTGTCGCGCTTAGCCACTACGCGAAGAATTGCATTAAAGAAATTGCGAGAAAACCACTTTTTAGATTAGACACATTAATTAGGTGGTAATTTTATTATAGAGTATCGATGAGGAAACCACCCCACCCCATCCCCCCCCCCCCCAAACAAACCACCCCCACCCCCAAACCCCACCCCCACCCCCCACTCCCAAAAAAAACATGTCTACCGTCCCATTCAACGAAATATAATTATATACTTTTTCCAGTGTCCGCCCCCTCCGCGAAAATTCTACCCCCGCCCCCGAAAATTTCAATTACCCCCACCCCTCTCCGGGGAGGAAAAAGTCTGAAAGAAACACTGGTGTCGCGCTTAGCCACTTCGCGAAGAATTGCATTAAAGAAATTGCGAGAAAACCACTTTTTAGATTAGACACATTAATTAGGCGGTAATTTTATTATAGAGTATCGATGAAGAAATTTCTTTTGAGTTGGGGAGGGGGGGGGCTTAGACGTTCTTACGCGGGGGGTGGGGCTTCGCCCCTACCCGAAGAATTGTATGCAAGAAACTCTTCACGCAAACCATTTAGATTAGACAACATTTCCTTTTTATTCAATGTTTACGCGATAATCAATGACGTCATTATATTACTGTGTGCACTTTCCGCCATGAGATTATTTTCAACTACATGCTAAATGTGTCGACGTCATACTTCGCCTTTCGTTTCACTGTGAGAGTTTTTAATTTCCTTGTGTTTTCTCTAGAGCGTTCTTGTCAGATAGAATTTTTGCTTATGTTTTCTCTAGAGCGTTCTTGTCAGACAGAGCGTTCTTGTCAGATACATAGACAGACAGCGAAACTATTATTATAGACGAGAAAAATGGCCCGTTGAGGAAGGATACACCGGGCGCTAGGCTGATAGTGCTGTCTCTTTTCTCTAAACTAAAACCACCCCAGCCCCCCCCCCCACACACCACCACCCCCCCACCCCCCCCCACCCACCCCACCCACCCCCACACCACCCCCCCCACACCACCCCCCCCACACCCCCCACCCCCCGAAAAACATGTATACCGTCCCATTCAACGAAATATAATTATATACTTTTTCCAGTGTCCGCCCCCTCCCCGAAAATTCTACCCCCACCCCCGAAAATTTCAAGTACCCCCACCACTCTCCGGGGAGGAAAAAGTCTAAATTAAAACCACCCCCCCACTCACCCCCTACCCCCCCCCCCCTACCCCCCCCCCCCCCCCTCCTCTAAAAAAACATGTCTACCGTCCCATTCAACGAAATATAATTATATACTTTTTCCAGTGTCCGCCCCCTCCCCGAAAATTCTACCCCCGCCCCCGAAAATTTCAAGTACCCCCCACCCCTCTCCGGGGAGGAAAAAGTCTGAAAGAAACACTGGTGTCGCGCTTAGCCACTACGCGAAGAATTGCATTAAAGAAATTGCGAGAAAACCACTTTTTAGATTAGACACATTAATTAGGCGGTAATTTTATTATAGAGTATCGATGAGGAAATTTCTTTTGAGTTGGGGAGGGGGGGGGGGGGGGGGCTCAGACGTTCTTACGCGGGGGGTGGGGCTTCGCCCCTACCCGAAGAATTCTATGCAAGAAACTCTTCACGCAAACCATTTAGATTAGACAACATTTCCTTGTTTTCAATGTTTACGCGACAATCAATGACGTCATATTACTGTGTGCACTCTCTGGTTTGAGATTATGTTCTACTCTACGCTAAATGTGTCGACGTCATATTTCGTTTTTCGAATTACTGTGCATGTTTTTATTTTGCTTGTGTTTTCTCTAGAGCGTTCTTGTCAGACAGAGCGTTCTTGACAGACAGCGAAACTATTATTATAGACGAGAAAAATGGCCCGTTGAGGAAGGGTACAACGGGCGCTAGGCTGATAGTGCTGTCTCTTTTCTCTAAACTAAAACCAACCCACCCCCCCCACACACCACCCCCACCCTACCCCCCACCCCCCCACACCACCCCCACCCCCACCACACACCACACACCACCCCCACCCCTCACTCCCACACACCACCCCCTCCACACACCGCCCCCCACCCCCCACCCCCCCAAAAAAAAACATGGCTACCGTCCAATTCAACGAAATATAATTATATACTTTTTCCAGTGTCCGCCCCCTCCCAGAAAATTCTACCCCCGCCCCCGAAAATTTCAAGTACCCCCACCCCTCTCCGGGGAGGAAAAAGTCTGAAAGAAACACTGAAACCAACCCACCCCCCCCCACACACCACCCCCCCCCCCCACACACCACCCCCACCCCCCCCCCACACCACCCCCACCCCACCCCACACCACCCCTCCCCACCCCTCCACCACCCCCACCACCCAAAAAAGCATGTCTACCGTCCCATTCAACGAAATATAATTATATACTTTTTCCAGTGTCCGCCCCCTCCCAGAAAATTCTACCCCCGCCCCCGAAAATTTCAAGTACCCCCACCCCTCTCCGGGGAGGAAAAAGTCTGAAAGAAACACTGAAACCAACCCACCCCCCCACACACCACCCCCCCACCCCCACACACCCCCCCACCCCTCCACACCCCCCCCCCCCCCCCCCCCCCCCCCAAAAAAACATGTCTACCGTCCCATTGCAAGAAAACCACTTTTTAGATTAGACACATTAATTAGGCGGTAATTTTATTATAGAGTATCGATGAGGAAATTTCTTTTGAGTTGGGGAGGGGGGGGGGGCTCAGACGTTCTTACGCGGGGGGTGGGGCTTCGCCCCTACCCGAAGAATTGTATGCAAGAAAATCTTCACGCAAACCATTTAGATTAGACAACATTTCCTTTTTTTCAATGTAGAACCAATGACGTCATTACATTACTGTGTGCACTCTCTGGTTTGAGATTATGTTCTACTCTACGCTAAATGTGTCGACGTCATATTTCGTTTTTCGAATTACTGTGCATGTTTTTATTTTGCTTGTGTTTTCTCTAGAGCGTTCTTGTCAGACAGAGCGTTCTTGTCAGACAGAGCGTTCTTGACAGACAGCGAAACTATTATATAGAATACGAACTTTTGCCAGCAACAAAAAATAGATAGATCTAGATCTAGATCAATCTATCACAAGTCGCATACAGTCCTTTCTGTTTTCAATGTAGTAGACAATAGGTGTCGCGGAATTGGTGGAGGGGAGTAGTAGGCTCCAGCGGGGAGAGGACAGTGTTTCTTCCAGACTTTTTCTCAGGGGGGGGGGGTACTTGATACTTTCGGGGGGGGGGGGGGGGTAGGGGGGC